AAACGGAATCGATAATTTCCGTCGAAGCGGACAATTCCCGCGAGGGCGGGCTTTTGTCGCGCGTTTCCCGGGAATATGCGAGCGTATGCCCCATTCGGAGGCGCGTTTCATGCGCCTCTTTGTTTTTATAGATCGTTCGCTGAACGGCCCCGGCGGCGGTGGACGTTGAGAGGCGCGGCAGTGGGATGGGAATGAATAGAGATTAATGCGCGCCGACCAGTTTCGATATCCCCTACTTGTACTTGCACATATTAGGTCAGTTTCGCTCTCAGTTCAACCATATAGTGTAATAACTGCCAAAAGGAAAAAATCAATAAACATGATACTGACATGATTTGGAAACTTCGCGTTTGGGTTTGACCCGACACGTGTCTGTTAGTGGTTTAGTAGATGTTGCGGTTTTAGTTGAGTCCAATATTATCCAGAATAGAAATTTCTAATCGAAAAGTTCCTAGCTGACGGTGTAGGAGTCGTCGATGTGGGCGATTTAGAAACTGCTGGTCCAGTTCTGATAATAGTTACGGTTTCTGAAACCTGTCGCTTGCATTTAATTTAATCCAATTTATTTCTGGTGCGGGGTCGGCCAGTTTTAGAATCAGATTTGCCAATATCAAATCAATTTCAGATTGCTGAAGCTAAACTACGTGGGTTTTATAGAATTGGTGAGAAATAAATAAAAATAACTTATGGATATGCCAAAAAATATCGTTATGAACCGTTATTCGGACCTGAATACAGTATCAAACCAAAAGTCCACTTGACAATCTTGCAACCTAAAATAATTAATCTCACGTATCCCACACTAACCCCGATGTTCGATTTTGGTCCGAAGCAATGACATAAAACATTCGAAACGTCATAAAAACGAAGACCCGCATTAAAATGAGAACTCGATAGCCACCAAAAAAGAACAATTCCTTTATTCATTGTTATGTCTTCTCTACCTACTCAGCTTTATTCACTATTATACGCAGCTTAGCTCACGTGGTCATTTTCGGATATTTGTTTATGGAAGAGGAAGCACAGCCGCCGATGGGCGTTCAAAAAAATCAAAGGAGTTGCGAAATCATTGCCAGCCTTTTAGCTATATAGGACGATTTTTCTATAACTATCATTTGTATCCGTAAAATCTTACGTTCGAAAATCACCGTGCCATGTTACTTTATATAGTTCATATAGTTATATAGACTATTGAAGTTTCATCGAACGCAGAACTCATGAGATAGCCAAATCCCACGAGCTTGGTACGGCCCTACGTGTATACTCATGCGTGCGTTATATATGGGGAGATAAGTCGCCTACGGTTCACCGAGGTTGCGGTTCGGACCGTGGCCCCGATGGCCGTTGACGATATTTATAAATGGTTTTCTGATAATCGGTTGTGTTGCTGCTAGCATATTGTGGCTACTATTCGGTGTTATGCTTACCATAATGTTAATTTAAATTAATTAATTATTAATTAGTTAATTTAAATTTAAAAATATTAATATAGGCGAAGGTTTGGCCGTTTCAATATTGCACTATTGATGATTATTGATGTTCAGATTTCCAATTAATTTATGCCATAGCAAAATTTCTGAAATTCCATCCCTTTTCAGATAAATTGCAAAAATATGCGAGCATTAAATTAAGTTTACATGGCAAGAATTAAATTAAAAAAATATATATATAAAGATAAGAACACGAATATCGGAGCGCAATCGGAGATGCGAATTACGCGTCCGCCGCGAAACGAAACGCGTCGCCCGCGGAATGAGCGCGGCCATCTTAGGTATTCGCATTTTGCACTACGTAGAATGCCTTTTGCTCTCGCAGTTTTTTTTACCCCGCCACGGCCTCTTCTCGGTAGCTGCCCGTCGAGATGCCGCGCGCTGCCTCTAAAAAGGAAGGGCAGGTTCGCTCCCAAATGTTTATTACTTAAATTATTCAATTGGCGGTTATCCTGTTATGGAGATTCTCGTGGCGGGCGACGGTCGGTTACGCGATTATGTCCCTTGCGGCTTCAGTGTTAAGACGCGTTTCCCCTTTCACGACACGAGCCCCATTGAAATGGCACATATTTCCTTTTGCCGAGCGATGATTCGATTAGTTGGCACACGGTGTGTACGTATTGTATGTATGTATATCCCGTATACATTCATTGTGCGGTAACCCCACGTCGCTAAACGGCTTTTTTTCGTATACAGCGATCGCTTCGCTAAAACTCGTTGTTTTGCCCAACCCGCTGAAACGACTGAGCGACGCTCTGGAGATGCTATCTCGGCGCGATCCCGGGCGCTGATACTGCGTCCGGTTCTCGCGGACTCTAGTACGGTGGACGGACTCTTTATTCCAGCTTTACGGTTAACTCTCTAGTTATCGTACGTAAAGGCTTTACATCCGTTTGTTCACTGTTTTGGAGGATGCTGACGAATTTTCAATTTTTTTTATATTTATTGAAATGTAGGTATGTATGTAAGTTGCCTATACTTGCGGAAATTTGTGGTTCTGTGTGTTTTTGGAGACGTGTTGGATGATGTCATGCTTTCAGGCCGAAGACTGCATAACTTTTCATCAGTCGTATAACCCTTGGAAAAGCGAATTTCCACGAGTTAGTTAAAGCCATAAACTATTTAAGGCGCGCATGTGGACATCCGTGTATAAGTAGACGGGTTCGTCGTCTACGGGTTTGGAAACGCGAATGTTCAATTGCGTAAACGGAGCTCGTGTCTGGATTGGAACGGTCCCTTGGTCAGTTATCGCGGATGAATCCGAATTGTTCGATAAAGCTTACTCGGAAAGAGAGGCGCTCCTAAAAGTTCTTACGACTCGAATGGCGACTCAATAAAACCCCGTTCGCCGAAAAATAATAAAAAAAGAGAAGAAAAGACGCGATAATTATTACTCGATCCACCGGTTTTTGAACGTTTCGAAGAAATGCTCATATTTTATTATGCACGTCGAAATCAAAAGTTGTTTTATTGAGCTGCTATAGACAATTAAATTGCAGACCGCGGCTTCGGTCGCGTCGATTTGCCCATCGCAGTACTTCCTTTTGTATGTATCTGCATCAACTGAGATGCGGATGCGTTGCTGACCTTTAAAAGAATGGAAGAACCCCGATTATCTAGATTCTAGACCAACAGACGAAAGGCAAAAGTATAATAATTCCAATTCACATCGGTCTTATGTGAGGCCATGGTATGGGTACATGATGTAACATAATTTGCGCAAAAGGGTCTCGTTGCAATTATAATGCCGTTTCGTGCCAGGGTTTTAGAACTGGTAACAAGGATTTACTTTTTAGACCAATTTTCGAATTTACAAAATCTAACATAGGCATATCAGCTGCCAAGCTATACAATTAAGTCTTAATTAAGTCAGGGGTTGTAAACGGACGTGTTGACCACACAAACACATTTACCTGAAGATACAAATGAACTCAGAGGCGATTCAAATGGATGGCCCGAATGGATTACCTTCGCGATTATAATTTCATCACATTTTAATTCACTTCTGCATACATTTTAATTCTTTCCTCCAGAATTTACCATTATCAATGTTTAGACATTATATTATGTAATAAGAACAATAATAATAGTTAGTGCCTATACTAAGAGGGTGCCTATGCTATATACTATGAGGGGACACTCTGTAGTCTGTAATAAATACAGTTTTCAGCTATCTCTAGGTTTTTTCTAACCAATAAATATGACTTTATTATTTTTCATTTATCGTACGTAGTCAGACAATTTAAAGGTACTGTGAAGTCGAACTATTCGCAGGATTATTCACAAACGTATTATATTAATACGGGGCACCACTTGTCCTGTTTACTCTAAACGTCGCGTGCCATTGAACTTCATTATACGCACCACTATACCACAGATAACGGGGATACGTTAATTTTTTTTGTATCCTGTTTTCCGTTCGATAAGTTCTATTTTGATCGCGCATCCGCGCTTCGCGATAGCGCTATCGTCTGCTCTATGGTCGGTTGTTTTTTTAAAAAAACCGCTGATAATAATGGGAATGGGAATTTTAATGTCAAACCGTTATCAATGGACGCGTATTTAAAAAACACTAGGCCTCATTGTTTACGTGTTCACCATGCACACACGCGCATCTCATTCATTTCTGTATGCTGTAACTAGGGTTGCCAACCATACTTTTTAATAACGTATTCTGCTTTATTTTTGGGAAAAATACTTTATACTTTTGCGTAAAAATAAAGTTTGTGAAAATACTCCATTTTCAATCTTTTCTGTGATGCATAAAATAAAGGACAATGTATCTTTATTTTATATATTTCTTTTTCTTTTATTTGAAACAAAAGACTTTCATGTTATAAGCTTTTTCTTGTTATTATATGATATGATTAAACAAAAACATTTTTCATACCAAGAAAATTCTTTCTTTTTTCTTAGGGGATAATTTGTTAATTTGTCATGGCTTCCAAAAATTTAATTATAGTGAAAAACTAAGTGTGTGCTAGAAGCATTTATAAATATATCTTCAACAAAAGATATCAATAATATTGTGAAAAATACTTTATTTTTCTTCTTTATACCTTATTTTTTCTCTACTTGAAAATGAGATACTTTATTTCTCTCAAAAAGTTTTGGCAACCCTAGCTGTAACAAACTGTTTTAAATATTTTATTCTCTATATTTTTTTACGATTAAACCCACATAACGTGATCCGAGGGTACTGTGCACCTTATACTACTTTCAAACGCTAGTCCAAATTTGGAGTGTCGTGTGTGTGTGTCGTGAACATCCTTTGATTATATACTTGTTCCACAAGTATGTAATCGAAGGTAACACCACTACAAACTTTACCAACCTAACGTAAATTATTATATATGCTTTATTGAATACCATAAAATAAAAATAATAAATGAAATGTTAAAAAGCCATCTCTTCCAGACAACCTTGTGACTAAAAGTATAATATTAGTACAAGTGCATTGGTACTAGTCGGGGTAATATTTTGATGATGAACTTTGCTCTCTCCTTATAGGGCACGAAGGCGCCTGTCGGCGGTGATCTGATGGCGGATCTCCACGCCAAGCTGTCGATGCGCCGCAGGGGGATATCGGGTGCCGAGCGCACCGGCGGCTCATTGCTACAGACCCTGGCCAGCATCATACCGGAACCCGGCGAGCAGTCCTCCCCGCAGCACTCGTCCAGCGACGGCGAATGGGACTAGGCGACCTCAGCACCACGGAACCCCAAAAACTCTTGTTCGATGTAATACAATCAGAAGCATCGCCGACCACTTAGTTCTACATCAGATTTGTTCGTTACATAGCTGAAATTAACATTTAGGCACAATTTTTTCAACCAAAATGTGTATTTGTATACGGAATAGTTTAGAAATGTTCGATTCAATGGTGATACGTACGCAACGGATATTCCTGTGACCGGTTCGTATGGAGGCGCGCGGTTTTGGTCAACTTAATGGGCGCACCTTCTCGGAAGCGCGTCGTAATATCGCTCGGAATTATCGACTGCGCCCGGGCTCTGTTCTTGTGTCCATTTAAAAAGTAAACACGATTAGGCGACCCCACTGTCCAATCGTAAAACGTTCAGTTTCATGAGACATCACTATCTAATACTGAGTGTACAGGAGTTCGATCTCTATTGCCAAAGAGAATAGCTCTAGAATCGCTTGATTACGCGAATAAAGAAAATATTCCTCCTGGACCATTTTAGAACGCCGCTAGAACGTCTTCGCTGGCGTCGTCTATTATTAGCGTTGCCAAGTTTACGTCCATACGAATTTCTATTTACGTACGCAGATCGGAAAGGGACCTCTCGTTCCGGGAGGCTATTACGATAATCGCGTTTCCCACTAGCCGTCGTCGTCTCGCTTTCGCTTCTGGGAAGGTGCGCCGCGAACTATCAACCGCCCCGCACCGATTAGCGTTTCCAGAATTGTGGAAAGAGCGCGTCGCACACCCGGAACTGGCGGTGAACGCGCTGCCCCGAAAACGGGCGAAGGTGGGACTTCTTACATGTTCGACTTTTGAAAAGTGTTCCATATTTAAAAATATCTACAAATTCGGTGTAAATTTATATTGTCGGTGGCGCCGAACAAAACGACGTGTATAAACGGCGGTAGCGCCGAACGAAGACTTTTTGTAGCGTTCCAAATTCAAATATCTTCGATTTTTTTTTGTAAATGTACATGTTGTCGCATTTTTAAATTTTAGTGCGAGTGAAGTTTGAAATGTCTGGCTATTGAAGTGTTTCAAATTCAAATATCTAATTCGTTGCAGATCTTTAATGTTGTCGTATTTTAAATTTTAATGCTTCGCCACGGCACCGGTAAAGGTAGAGCCGGAGCTAGCGAAAATCACGTCCTCTTTATGCATTTGTTGAACTATGATGGAGTGTTATAAAAACGTTTTTTATATTTAGCAACTCGGAGAATTTTTTATATACTTGAAATTGTAATCGGCTTAAAATATTTCTTTAGTGATCGTTGACAAGTTGAATATAATTAATATATAAATTTTTATTGCTCCCATTTAGCCCAGATCTAAAGATTCTTTAAGAAATTTAATTAAGTTTTCATGGTTATAATGATATGCGATCAAATAATTTATGTGGGAGCTAAGGAGATTATCGAAAGTTGTTGGGTTACGTGTACCTACATTTAAAATTTTAGCGAAGTGAAACTTCTGTAGATAGAGATTAAATTGTCTGAAAGAGGATGAGGTTTTAGTGTAGATTACGTAAAAAGAGACTGTTCGTTGGCGCGTCACGTTATATGGCCATAAGGGTTAGGGTATTAAGTAAAGAGGTTTCACTTCTGTGATGTGATACGCCTAGCTTAGGACGGATATGCTTTTTATGGATTTTATATACGTATGGAAGTTTATATTAATTAATATCCTTTAATGATTTAGATCTGGATAGTGTTAAGTAAGGATATGTGATGAGCGTGCCTATGGGTGGTGCTAAATATTACGTTAGTGTTAGACGAAATGTTTCTAACCTCAGATATTACGCTTTTATTAAACAATCAATTGAATAGAGTCAATCGATTTTACAACGACCATTAAAATACTGATTTAAATGAATTGTTGCAATTTTTTGTGGAGATTTTATTCTTCGTTTACAATTGGTTCTGACCTATTTCGCTTAGCTGTTATTCGTTAGAAATATATAGCGGACAACGAACATTGGTTGTTTGTAATAAACTTAAGGGAGATTCATTTAAGTTAACGAGTGAGGAGAACGAAAAGGATGTTGCATTAAGCAGATGACGGTTGAAAACGCAATAAACCGCGGGATACTTTTAACGTCATGGACCAAAAGTAAGAATAAGGAAGGGAAACGATAAATCAGCTTAATGTACTGAATTAATTCACCTAACATACGCGTCTCCCCGTTTCGAACGGATTATACCGTCGCCAGCGACGCAAGCTCCAGTGCGGAACGAATCGGGCACGCATTAGAGATAAATGACTGTTCCAAAATCCCTTGCCGCGGTGTACCTGAACAAAGTGAATAGTGGTTCGGGCTTTTATCGTGCACCCCGAGCGGAATTGTATTCCAAATTCAAATATTCGTGTCCGTTTCTTTATTTGAAGAATGAAAAGAAGAGGAAAACCGTTTTTTTTTTTTTCGCCTATTCCATGGAAGTCAAATGACCGAGCGCGCACGGTCGAGAAGTTGCATTATTTTCGCGCGTGTCGCCGAAAAACGTGACGGCGCTGTTAAATCGGGAGCACTCGCTGGGCGTTTTTCGGCGGCGCCTTTTTGTTCGGTTTCAGCCGGGCATTTGTATGCCGAATGGCGAACGGCGGGCGAACAGTTAAGTTCCGAGGAAACTAGCTGTAGCCGAGGCCTTTCGTACTTGCTATACGTGGATTAAATTCAGCTCACTAATCGTACGGAATAACCCGGCCGTGCGATTGGCGTTGGAATACTAAAATCCGTTATCCCCTCCCCCGTACGGTGTATATACACGCACGACTTTGTTTCCCTCAGTTGGGAATAGACAACTTTTTTTCTTTTTAATTTATACGGCAATAAAACGTCATTCAAAAACGTCACATTTGTCGTTTCTGGCCCGCAGCAGAGCATATTGGAAGAGCGCCATGCGAGTTCTCGATTTAGTTAGTTGTAAGCCGGTTCTTGCCTATAAAGCATGAATCAGACCTCAATAGATCTAGATTGGTGTACAATTGGATATTATCCCGTCCGTATTACCTACCTATCCGCCACATTGAAAGTCAACAAGTCGAAGCGTCCGAGTCTCGGTACCCAGTATAATAAATGCCGGGATTGATTAATGACCGCTTGACATAATCTCCCCGTGCGCACAGCTTATAAATAATACATGGACTACGCCGGAATTAGCTTTTGTCGTGAGAAAGTGGCTTTTTCGAAATAAAATGTAACGTACCGTCGCGCCAGAGATTAATAACGCGTATAAATCAATATGCCGTGCGCTTTTTAACAGACATTTGCCATTTTCACAGCAGCTACTGTTTTCTTCTTTATTACTACTAGCACCAATTATTAGGCGTAAGAATTAATTTAAATCCAAATAGCTTTTATAATAATAGTAAAAGATTGGCTCGTAAAAATTACTATTAAGTAATGAATTTGTTAACGAAATTATGTATATAACTTAGCAATATGGATGTTTTATTGTATAGACAAATTAGAGTACGTAATTATTATGTATTTAGTAGATAACACTTGCCTTTGATAGATTTTATATTAAGTTTTGACTGATTGATTTAAATATTAGTGTTGTTTTTATACACTCCGCATTTTATTTTGTTTTTTTTTTATATACGATCAATTCAAATGTTTCTTCGAACACGTTTTAAGGTACAACGGTTAGTCACAGCAATAAGTGAGGGATCAGTGAATCGCATGCTATCTATGGAATTGTGAACGTTCGATTTGTGGCCTGTTTTTTTTAATCATTGGACGAACGGGTTGCGCGATTGAACGGAACGCACTCAAATATCGATAGCGGCGCGTCACTAATCCGTCCTGTCATTTCGTAGCTTGTAAATAGTGTAACGAGACGCCCACTTTAAACGGTTTAATCTTGCTAGTTGTCGTACTGTATACACAAGTTTGTTGTACGATTGAATTTTAAATGTTACGATGTATGGTGGTATGTCATTAATAAATGAATTTTCGAAATCACAACCTGTTTTATTTGATGATCTCTTGTATTTACAACGCTGCACTGTCACATGCATTACTTATATTATTTATAGCGTGACTAGAAAAAGTAAGAACGAATCCGCCACGCAGTATTTTGCGGCGTCTAATGGTCTAAGTTATGCGGTGGAATAATGGAATTTTTCTTCTACCAATCAACTGACTACGTAATAAGTCGCGAAGGAAAACTCTTTTCTTCTTTCTCCTGCTCTTATCCCACACTAGGAGGAGTCTGTACAAGATACCCTTTCCTTCCACTTTTATCAGCCGTAATCTCAATGTTCACAGACATATCTAAGTGCCAAGTGGTTTTGAGAAAAGTAAAGTATCTCATATTTCAAGTAGAGAATAATAAAGTATTTGGAATAAAACAAGTATTATTGAAAAAATGTTTTTGATAAATCAAAATATAATTAACAGCAAAAGCTTCTAATTTGAAAGCGTTCTATTTTAACTTAAAAGTATCGATAAAAGTTCAGTAATTATTCATATTAGTATAGTTAGTAGTATTAGTTAGTATTTTCACATTTTTATGCAAAATTATAAAGTATCTTTACAAAAAATAAAGTAAAATACTTTATTATAAAATATGGTTGGAAACCCTAGATATATCATTCCTCACACAGTCCATCCAGATCGTCGGTCTTCCTCTAGCTTTACACCCGCCAACCATATTCATATTCATCACTCTTCTAGTCAGATGACTTCCATCCCTTCTGATAATGTGCCCATACCTTGCCACGTGAAGGAAAACATCGCGAGGAAACCTCGAAATAATAAAAAAGCATTTCCAATATATGTGAAGTCCGCCTAACCGCCGTGGAGTCGCGCGGTGGATTAGTCCTAATACCATCTGCACAGTGGACTTTGCCCAGCCGTGGGACATATAAGTACTTTTCTTCCGTCTTTTTTCGAGCCGTGTGTCAACTGGCACACGTCAAATTCCAAATTCGATTATGTAATCTAAGAATTCGCATTCTTTCGGTTTCGACGTTCGATTTCGGCGATTCAGGGTCAGCGACTCCACCCGTACCGATTATTGTAACGGCCGCCGCGGTACCCGCTAGAGACGTGGTCCGGGTCTTACGCGCGGCGATTTCTCGGTACGGCCAGTGTTTCGGAATCGGATATAGAGATTCCGGGAAAGTGCCGGCCTCGGTAGGGCCCGCGTGGGTGTCGAGTCGCATCGCCGCTTGCTCCGCTCCGCCGCTAAAACTGCGGCAGCCGGAGGCGTTAAGCGTGAGCTAAACTCGCTGTGTCCGCTCCGTACTAACTGAAATATCTTATACGACTGTTACAAATTGGCGTGATTGGTGTGACGAGATTTTTCATAGATTAATCCTGCGAACACATATAACTTTTGCAAAATCAACGATTCCAGGTTAAGTCGAGTCTTTGAGTACTTACAACGGGTTTCGATTACCTTAGAAGTATCAAAATATGTAATGATGACTTACTTGATTGCGTTGACTAACGGCCGGTTTCAATAATCTATCTGTAGATTTGGTTATTGGAGATACAATTTTGACGTAAGTATTATGGGCTAAATAAAATAAATACCAATCGCTAGTAACCAATTCTGTAGACAGAATATTGAAGCTCGCCGTTAAAACCTTACTACAGTTAACATAGAAGTTTGGAAAAGTTTGAAATGGATACTTGCAGCTGTTCCTGGGAAAAAAAAGTCTGTATAATCTGACAACATAATTAATAACATGACATCATTATTTTATCTCAAAATAATAATCGACTTAAATAAGGGTTCCGTTTTTACCAATTGAGGTAAGGAAGGTAGAGAATGGTACCTACATGGTCATTTGTAATCTTTTTTATCAGTTGACGGGGGAGAGACGACCAGTATTGTGGTGATTAATTAAGAATAATCATGACGTATGTTTCATAATCATTTGGCCGACCAATTTGGTTCTTGTCGGGTTTAGACTCGTACTTATTTCTTTTGATACTCATCGCGAAAAATTCTGTATTGCGTTTAGCTAGTCTCTGGATTTTTAGGGACACTGCAAATTGTTCTTGAATAGATATTTTAATACTTCAAGTTCAGGTAATTTCTTTTATGCATCAAATACTTTGACCCCCTTATAGTAATTTTATTAAGAACAGTTAGAAATTTACACAATTTTTATTAATTCCTGTGAGTAAATACTTTATTTTTATAAATGTATGCGTGTACAAGACTATTCGCTACAATGGCAGACACTCTCAACTTTACGATATTTTCTTGCAATCTTGCACAATGTTATCGGTGCAGTCTGCAGAAGAAGCTCGTTGAAAGCAGATACGTGTCTAATGTCTATCTACGCTATCTAGTCTATTAGATGAGAGGCTATTATATAATTTGACCTGTTATTATTTACTTCCATTATTTTTATTAAGTATCGGACCGGCACAAAATAAATTGAAATGTTGCTTGGTTAGAAACATTTTTCAATATAAATAGGTTAACATATACAAGATATAATATGCTATAGTAGGAAACAAATAAAATACAGTTTATAAATGTTTACTTTAACGTTCTACAAAATCATTATAATCATCCTGCCCTTATGTCACTTATGGATCGCACAACATGTGAATCTTGTTTTCAGTGGTTGACTAAGTTTGTACGGGTACGATTACGGTTGCCTGGCTGAAGCCACCACAAAGCCGCCGCAAGAGCCGGAACATTTATCTGTGGGTCACACATTTTTTTTTTTTCATTTTTTTATGGAGAAAAGGGGCAAACGAGCATGAGGCTGGTGATCACCGCCGCCCATGAACACCTGCAATACCAGAAGGCTTACAAATATTTGTCCCGTGTGGGAACCGTACCCACGATCCCCGCTGAAGCCAAGTTATTGCAATCGCGCCACTATAAAAACCCAGCCAAACCGAAGAATTCGGAAAGGCAGACTCGGAGGGTTGAATAGGGGAAAGGAAATCGTGGGTTAAAAGTTATCGTGATGCCCGGGCTTTTTCATTTGAGCCAGAACCGGTCCATCTAGAGAAGTATGTCTGAAATCTATGACTGCATCTCTGCTTATTTCATTTAGTTATTTACTCTGTGTTACAATTACCTTAAACAAGGATTACAAAAGGACGTACTTCATGCCTTTTTCGCATTTTGTCCAAGACAACTCGAGGTGTGGTGATAAATTGTGGTATAATAAATATTAAGTATATGGTATAGTAAATATTTTAAGTATAAATCAAGGACCAAGTTTGAAAGAGGTCTGGTTAGGTCAATGGGGTTCCAGAGCAGTGCAGCTTGAACAGTGAAGGAATTACCGATGAAACTAATACAATGAGGAAGAGTAGTAATATTTAGGTTAGATAAGGAACAGAGAACTCTGATTGTTTAGCGAGAGGGAAGGAATAGGATATAGTAAGATAGTCAACTACTTTTGATTTAACCGAAATCTGGGAGACCCAGCCTTTTTTTTTGTTTACGTGGGGGAAATGCCTACGCACGATGTTCCACCTAGGCGCATATCGGCAGGGTCACGGGAACGCTTTCGCACACTTCCGCGACCCTGCCAGCGCTGGCCGCCTCAACAGCCCCCTCTCGGGGATCAAATCCCCTCTCCTCCAGGCGCGCTGGACAATTCAGCGCGCCTTCCTACTCGGCCCCATTTTTACGGCCAAAGAACTCCCCCGAGTTCGCTGACTGGGGCCATGGGAGCCAGGAGAGCCAGTGCTAATAAGCAGCAAGCCTCCCAGCCCCCAGCGGCGGGCCTGGTCTGTGGCTCCGCCGCCCACCACGTTTCGGCTAGGAGACCCAGCCTGAGCAAAGACCTCATTACGGCTTTCCTGGTCCTCTCTATGAGTTTACTTACATATTTAACTCAACACTATAAAACAACAATCCGATCTGTTATTACAATTCTATAATTTTCCGTTGCCTCGAAGAATTTAATTTCATTTCGCGTGGCGTCGGTTTTCTTTTCTGGGAAAGAAACGTATTATGCCCGCTACATAAGTAACGCCACGTTGTTGGCCGCTTCTAATAAGACGATTAATTATTGTGGTGGTTCAGAATTTGTTACGTAGTTCATGAGATTTAACCGTCTATTAACACACACGCGATCGTTAAAACAAATCCACGGAGCAAAGAGCGTGTTATAAAAACTACTCTAATGCTCTTAAGGTAATTTAGTGTAAAAACTCTGGCAAGTTATTTTAAACATATAATGACTAAACGTTTGGACGTTTTTTTTTTATTTGTAAAAATAATCACGCGGATCGGTACCAAGAATTACATTTACTCTCGTAATGATATAGGTTACCTTATCTTAATTAACGATAAGAAATCATCAGGGAGATGATTATTTATCGGACATAACTTCATTCCCAAAAATAAAAAGGAAATATTTTTTTAAGAACTTCATTGTAAATTACCCGTGTATCTAAATTATCTACAGCAATTGACTTTTTTTATGTGAGAAAGTGGCAAGCGAGCTGGCAGTTCACCCGATGTTAAGTGAAAACCGCTGCCCATGGACATTTGCAATACCCGTAGGGTTACAAATGCGTCGCCACCTTTAAATAAAGTTAAATAAAGGCTCCGGCTACCTCACTCACCAGACGAAACGCAGAATTGTAACACTTCTACTTCACGCCAGTCTTTTGTGAGGTTGTGGTACTGACCCGGACGGACCTGCCCATTCGTGCAACATTGAACAAACACCATTGCATGGCCTTACCACAGTTAAGGCTAGTTTTGCGAAAAAAATGTATGTCTGAAGCCCCGTCTATTATAATTGTTTAAATAATAATTATTATTTAAAAGTAAAAAAAAAACATTGTTGGATTTTAAATATCCTTCCATATAAATGAATAATAATTTTTTTGAAAGCCAAATTTGAATTATCGTCTCTCCTGTAAAAATGGATCTGCATCGGGGAACGTTTTCGTGCGTAGATTTTTTACGTATTCAAATGTGGCTTATAACCGGACGAGTCGTTTGATCGACTTCAAATGGCATTTATGGATGAAGGACCTTTAACAGCAACCATTTACCGTTGGCAAAACTAATTCAAATAAAGCTCGGAAGCAGACCCGTGTGGAATGGTGCCGTGACACGATTAGTAAATTAAAAGCAGGCTCGTCTCGGTACGTTTACGACATTGTAACAGGTGATGAATTTATTTTGGGCTTTATCAATACGATCCAGAAACAAAGCGTCAATCGACACTTTGGCTGTTTCAAAATGAACCAATGCCTTCAAAAGTAAAGCAGCCGAGAAGCTCAGGGAAAATTTTGATCGCTAGTTTCTTCACTTTGACTGGGTATCTGCAACACTGAAACTTTCTGCATAGGTTATCAAATTTCTGAGTGTCCCACTTAGTTCGATCTTGAAGTTAATTTGAACTGATATTTTAACTTTGAAATCGATAATAACTTCATATTGCATTTAGTTTATAAAAAAAAAACATGTCGTACCATTGATTTATTTGTATTAATTATAAATTAAACAAGTTACAAAAGTGTAAATGGTTTTTAATAAAAACCCATTTTATTAATAAACTACGGGTACTAGACGTCCATTTTTTCGGGAGTTATCATGACCACCTCGTACAAAAATCCGGACGTCCACATAATATTTTTTTTACATAGGTAGCAAATAATATTGTTTTTACAGAATGTAAGATAGATAATTTACTGTTTTCTTGAAAAACTTCTACTAATATTATTAGCGCTAATAACATGTGGCAGAGGCAGTTTAAGAGCAAAAAATTGTTTGACTTTGAGGTGTCGAGAGTAGAGTACAACCTCAACTCCTTCGCGGTATGAGGTGTGCAATAGAGAAACTAATCAAAACAAAGGACTAATTTTCGACCAAATAGTTACTACTATGTTTAGACAAAATATTACCTTACCACAGCTGGCGTGAGCGCTAACACTAAAACAAAGTTTATACATTTTCGTAGCATTTATTAACTTATGCCACCGATGTCTCATATTAGTCGAAGTACACCTGGGATGAGATACCCCTACTCTACATCTTCGCAATTTACAAGGGTCTTACCTCTTCCCCAAGGGATGAGGAGTACATCCGTCGTGTTTCTTACGATTGTCTCGTGAAATGCATAAATATAGTTATAGATTATTTTATTGACCTCACGATGATTAGATCAAGGGGATTCGTATATGCTAATATCGCATTAATGTATTAACAAATGCAAGTTTACTTGTCCTATTCATAGCCGCAACGGCTGATCGGTTTTAATAAAGTTTTGAATAATTTTTTTTTTATTTTTAATTCTAATATCTGCAATGAAGATGAAACTTAAAAAGTTAATTTCGGCGCTGCGAGATTTTGAACCTGCGTCTTCTGGGTAACACCATACGCTTTAACCAACTGAGCTAGGCGGCCGATTTCCTCACACCGACAGACCGCTGATTAATAAACTTCTGTAATCTATTATTTTGTTAAAATTACAGTAAATGCCTTTTTATTTACTACTCCCGTTTTCAATTGAGTAATATTTTAGCTGAGCACAAGCCACAATTGAACTGGACAGTCATCCAAGACTATCGTTGCAACAAACTGGATCTAACATCCCACATCCAAACAAACAAGTCATCGAAAGTTCTTGCGAACGGAGCTTCGTGCTTCCAGAGAGCTTCAAGTGAAAAAAGTAACCACCCATGCTTTAAGCCGTTATCGCACTAACGCATACCGTGCCAAGATGCGCTACCCCCAAAATAAAGTCAAAGAGCGCATGCAAGAGCTAAGGAGGAAGGTATGGAACATTCTGATGGACAATATGTGACTACTAAAATAGAGTAAAATTTGTTCAATATCTAGTCATGTCAAACTCTTTTCCGCATCAAGTTGCAACGCACAGACTGAAGAGGGCTAAGGAGGTGCACGGGGAGTATAGTGACGATATTTTACGTACTTCTCTACAGCTGTATCGGAAGGTCTTGCGCGTGGAGCTTCGCGCCACCAGAAAGCCGTTAGTGAAACCACGGTCATGTAATCAGCATCTCTAAGCTGAATAATCTCGGATATTTAGCGTCTTATTAACGGCTCATTAGAATTCTCTTTATAATAGGGACAGCAAAGATTATATTTCTGTATTTGTTATAGATGTATATTTGTCTGTGAAAAAATGACTCCCTGGCGCAGTTGCCTTCGGCTTCTTGGGCCGGGAGTCGTGGGTTCGATTCCCACACGACACAAGTATTTTGTGTTACCCCACAGATAGTTGTTTCGCATCTAGGTGTTCGGCCGCGTGATTCTTTTTTCATTCATTCATTTCAGCCTGTTTGAATTCATTGCTGAACATAACAGACTGCCACGAAGTGCCATCCTAGGCCACCTGTATCCATTTACTTCCCACGCATTTGCACAGGTTGTCACTCCATCTAGTGGGGATTCGTCCTACACTTCGATGAATATTACGAGGCTGCCACTCAAAAATCTTTCTTCCCTCATTGAAATTTGTGTTTGTAAAACGTCCTTATAACACAGGATAATATTATTAGTAAATGTCAAAAAGTTGTTATTGCTTGTCATAATAATACCGTGAAGTAAATCGAAGTTGATTGTTTTGAAACCTACTTCATCATGTCGCTTTTTAGCTGTCGGTGTGCACGCACAACGTAAAAATTTTACCCTCATAAATTTTTCCAAACGCGCCAAAAGAATTATAACTTTAAAAATGGGTCCAATGGTATTTTTTTCCAATAAGCAATTCAGTTTAGGGCCGGACAAACGGTCATCTTTTAAATGCATTGCCTCATGGAGTTCTTGAGTTGCCACTACGCCATCGATACAGCACTAAATACACGGAATAGAATAAACTGAGTTCTTGTTTTCTCTATTCGGCAACTTTATACGACTGATGTCATAAAAACAATGGTCTATGGCTTGGAAAGAGCCAAGATCAACCTGGACCATACTATAGCGGATGCCAAAGCGGACTGCCAGACAGGATAGTAAATAATATTTTAAGAATAAAATATGATAAGATCATATTTAACTATCGCTGTACTCTCACATCGTTGTCCTCTCCTAAACCCGTGCAGTTCGAATTTACTTAATTGTTTATAATTTCTAATATATCGTTTTCTATCGACACATCAAAGCCGTCAGGCTTGCTTTAAATTTATCAATCTCACAAATTAATAGTCTTCGATACCGGGCCATAAAATCCAAAAAATATCACAAATTATAATTAACATATCCTGTTAGTTACACCTACCAGTGCCAGTTGTAATATCAGTACCATTTAATAGCGCTTCTTGACACTTGACACTTGACAGTTTTAATGACAAACGAATGACGTTTACTTTGAGTGATACTTCAGCTGCACGTGGATTTAAATTGACTATTTTTGCTCAATTTTCTCTGTAGTTTTAACGTTGTGTTAAGTATCCAATTTGGAAGCTATAGTATATGAGTATCTATTTGTTTGCAAAATGTTGAAGACCAAAAGAAAAAATTCTGAACTAGATACAGGGGCTACTAAGAAAAAGAAAGTCCAGTTTAAAGAAACAAAAATTGGACGTAAAGAAAATGAATCATCTAAAACAAAATCTAAACCAGGAAAGTCAGATAAAGAGAAACTAAAAAATAAATCCTTAACAGATGTGAAGAGTAAGAATGTTGATTCCAAATCGAAGCCGAATAATAAGGAAAATAAATTTAATAAGCCGAAAGGTAATTTTGCTAAAACTAACAAGGGAAAATTTAGTAAGGTGACAAATTCAAAAGGAAAACCTAACACTTCTAAAGATCAGCAGTCAGGAGAAAAGCCTGTATGGTCCGAAATGAAAAAAGAAAAGAAAAATTTGCGACTCATTCGTCGTAGAGCTAAAGCCACTGCAGAAATATTTGAAATATCACACAAGGCAAAGTTGTTGTCTGCCCAAATTCAAAGGTTAACTAAATATTATTTCACCAGATATTTCACATATAATCTTAAAATTCTCTGACATAAGGTTGTAGGCTGTGCATGAATCCCTTAAGATAGCTAATAAACAATTTGAGTCTATATACTAATTATATAATTTGTGTCTATATCAATACTTTAACTCGTTTGTTGTCATAATCAACATATTCATTTATATTTAGTTAGTTAGTTCTGCACAACATCTGTATTGTGTTATTATGGTGTTGGTAATTTTTTTTAAGGTGGGTTGCCTTTCTGACTAAACCTCTGGGAATAAGCATCCTTCTTTAAAACAACTATCTGTGGGTAAAACAAATACTTGCCCATGCGATAATTGAATCCACAATCCCCAGGCGCTAAGCCAATACCTACGTAACTTGACCACTGAGCCATTAACAGACATTAAAAACTTATTCAATACCCAAAATAACATTATTGTCTTATATGATTGTAAAATATTAAATCCATCAATCTACTCAAGACCTTAAAAAAGTGTAAAATTTTAATGTTAACAATTAACCACACATTCTTTGATAAACATAAAACTAATATTCTTGCAAAATTGTTTACAGGAAAGTGGTCAAACAAGAATTCCGGATGAAAGCATGCAAAGAGCTCCACTGCTTACTCAAAGGCCAATACAAATCTATAGCCCTTACTCATGACTTGAGCAGAGTTATTCAAGTTTTACTCAAGCACAGTCCAGAAGACATCAAAAATGAAATAACAGAAGAGTTGTTAGACATCATGGTGCAAATGATGCAGTCAAAGTATGCGCAGCATGCAGTGAAACGCATCATGAAATATGGAACAGATTTCATTCGTCATGAAGTAATAAAAAAACTGTTTGGACACATTATATCTCTGGCAACACATTCTATAAGTGCTCCAGTATTGGATTATGCTTATGGTGAATTTGCCACAAAGAAAGAAAAAATAAATATGCAGCAAGAATTTTATGGAGAGTTATATAAAAACGTAAGTAACTAATTGTTTTAATATAAGTTAATGTTTTTGTTATACAGAGTGTTGTTACCATAGCGACAATAAATGAACACACATATAGGGGATAACTTTTTAAAGTTGTATTAAACATTTAAATTCTTTAAACATCAACAACTTTTCTTCTATTTTCTATGGGGGAGGCCTATGTTCAGCAGTGGACTCAAACAGGCTGAAATGATGATGATGATGATGATGAAACATCAATATTTACAAAGTTATTAAATTTTCCAAAACAAAGAATTTTAGAACAACCTTACCTATAAAAGCGTAACGTAAAGTTCATTTGTAAAGGTCACAAAGCATATGAATGGGTTGAATGAATTTAAAAGAGACAATACATACTGTTAGAAGGAGAGGCTTTTAATACGACGCTGTGGCGCGAGTTGTATAGGTGTTACAAATTTTGTTTCTTTTTTACTTAGTTTGTTTAAAAAAATTTTTTTTTAATTATGGATTTTGTATAACGTTAATATTTTTTATGATTATTGGCAAGTAGTGTTAGACGTGTGTTCATTTATTGTCGCGACGGTAACGACACGCTGTATATATATATATATATATATATATACAGCGTGTCGTTACCATGGGTTGAATGAATTTAAAAGAGACAAAACATAAAGTTAGAAGGAGAGGCTTCTAATGCGGCGCTGTGGCAACGAATGAAAAAGTCTCTGAATGTATGAATCAGTCAGTTGTAGTTGTATAGGAGGATGTAACAAATTTTGTTTCTTTTTTACTTAATTAGTTTGTTTGAAAGATTATAACTAGGAAAGATTTCATTCTATGTAAATTTGTAAATTGTTTGTAATGGATAAATTTAATAACTACTTAACCAATTTTAAATATTCTATTATAAAAGATAACTAATAACTTGTGTCTGTTCCAAAATTTAATTTATATCTTTTTAGCTTTATTAATCAATTATATTTAATCAAGTCTCATTAAGATACTGCAAATTCTTTTTTTGAATGTTTTTATATTCACTTAATGGACTTATATCTCTTGTTATAAGAACCTTACATCCGTAAATGTGGTTGGTAAATCATATAATACATTAACTTATGGGGAAATTATGTTATGTTTTCAGTCTAAAGATGATAAAGTGCAAACTCTTAGAGATGCCTACAAAGACACACCAGAGATGAAGGCTGCCATTCTACAAGCCTGCAAGGCGAATATTCAAAAAGTTATAGACAAGAACCTTCATGATAGCGAGTATGTATTGTACATGATCTGTAAAAAGAACAAAAGAAAGAATCTGTTGAAAGATACCTTGTCTCCATAGGGATAAGGATAGAAATACTTCTTTTGTTTCATTTTATATATTTTAAGTACCTTTGTGTGTTAAACTTTGTGTAATATACTTACAAATTCAAAGAAAAAAATAAGACCACAGAGTTTCTTGCCGGTTCATCGCTGACTAATTAGACCTAGGTTAGTGAACTGGTGCTAGTTTTTGACTTTCAATAAGAGCTTAAAATAAGCCTATATTTTATAAAGAAATTTTGACTTTGACTTTTTTAATTGTACATATTTTATTTTATATCACAGAGAAAACTGGTATCATGTAACTGAAGATTTTCTTCTAAAATTTAGTGTGAAAATTCACAATGAAGTCTTGATTAAAATCCTGTGCTAATAGTGGCGAACAGCCACTGCAAAGCCAGTTGAATCTTGTTTAATCCATTTGACTCAATGATTTCAATATGAATTTATTCTAACATGTGTCTTTGAATCCTTTCAGACTATTTCAAACTGTGTTATATGATTACATTTGTGAATGTACACCAGAAGATAAAGTGGAATTAATATCCACATTAAGTCCCTTAATTGTTCCCCTAAGTAATTCCTTGCCTGGTGTCAATGCAGCTAGCATATGTGTGTGGCAAGGAACTAACAAAGATAAGAAGGTAAGAAAAACTTAATTTCATTTATCCTAACCTATAAAATCCATAATAAGCACTACTAATTGATATTAGTAGAGTAAACTAAAAAGTAGCATAACAGCCTTTATATTTTACTCCAGTGCTGATCAAAGGGCAATAAAGGGAAAAGAGTATTATTAAAGTGGAAATACAAAATTTGCAATATCTTCACTATATATATTTTATTATTTTGATTTTCATTTTCAGAAATATGATGATTTCCTTTAAAATTTCATTCGTATCAGATTTGAGAGTTCGAGGTTGCTTAAGTATAGTAAGTGACTGAGCTGCCATATCTCTAAAATATATCTGTAAATTTTCTAATAAGACACATTAGCAGCTTACAACATGATGCATTTGATCTTGGGCTAAACAAATATAATCATAATATCTCTAACATTTCCAATAACTTCATTAAGTTTGTAAAACTTAGGTGGGTGCAATTAAACGTAAAAATTGAAAGCACAACTGATAAATGACCAAAAAATCTGTTATTTTATGTATTCGGTTTCTTTTTTTGGTTGTTTTCTGCATAATTTAAAGTTGTCTCAGAATTGGTACCTGACGAAGAAGTAATTACTTTAACACTAACATGTTTTCTATGAAGTATGTCTGTATTTCTTCCAGACCATTTTGAAGGTGGTAAAAGAACATGTGCTATCTCTAAGCAAACATAAGACTGCATATCGACTACTAATAACAATATTTGATGCTGTTGATGACACTGTATTGGTAAAGAAGGCTATTGTATCAACATTAGCTGCTAATTTGAAAGATATAGCAAAGGATCATTGGGGTAAAATGGTGAGTTCTATAATAATCTTTTAATAGTAATAATGTTTTTGTTAAGATTAGTCTGTGTCCACCAATTTGATTAACCAAGAATATGAATTATCAAATTACATGAAAAAATTATTTTCATTTCTTTTAATTATGCAATAACATTGCAATATTACATAAGAAGCCTATTTAAGGAATTGTTAAAAGCTAGCATAAGATATTATTACAGTTTATAAAGAACACAGAGACTGGCAAACAACTTGAGCAGAAAGCAGCATAGTAAATATTTCTAGCAAATTAAGAAAAGCTTGTGCTACAGGAAATTAATGATAATAAAAGTGTATGAAATATATACTTACTTGATTATACTTTTCTTTTGTAAATAAATACATAATTTGAATATTAAAACAACCAGACACTGGAAAAAAAAGTTTTGTTCATCTTGAAAAATTATTCAGTGGTGGGAATTGAATCCACAAGCCTTTGTGTAAGAGACAATATGTTCATCAGGTCAAGTGGGAGAATGCTTGTGCATCTACACTTGTGTACCCAATTTCTTTGAAGTAAACAGTCTATATTCCCTCCCACCATAGGCGCAGTATCGTACTCCATGCCCAATTAAAAATCAACTACTGTGCAATTTAATACATTTTCATGATCCCAACCAGTTTTAATACATAAAGACATATTTACCAGGTGCTACACTGGTTAGTCAAGCCAAAGGACCCTGCAGCTTTCCATCCTAGTTTCATCAAGTTCTTAGATGAGGGCGCAAAGAGTGGTACTTCGAAAAAAGATGCAGACCTCCGTGTATCAGAACTGCGTGAAGCTATTCTTCCAGTTCTCAAAGAAGATATGGTATCAGATCCACAATTTTGGCTGAGCAGTAAAGCTAATTTACTACTCACTGTGGCATTATTGTCAATAGGTAATTGTTACCAACACTTATATTATATTACTGCTATGCACTGACATAATGCTACACAAGTTAATAATACGAAATGCTTATATGGACCAGTCTAGTTGCACAGGAAATTGTTATGAGGAAATATTGAATAAAGTCAAAGCTTCCCCACACTTGTCGGGAAAGTAGGACAGCAATGTTTTATACCTTACAGTTACGCTTTTATGTCCAGTCAGTTTTAAAATTATTATCTGTATATTTATTTTAAGCAAATGTTATTCCAAGTTGTACTTTACTAAATTCAAATGTTTCTCTTTATATTATAGACACATCTAAAGAAATATTAGAAGCTTTGGCACAGGTGATAAGTCAATCAAATTGGTTTATTAAAGTAGAAGATAAAGATGTGCTAGCTATAGAAGATGCTGGTATACATATGTGTCTCAAAAAACTTGCTTGTTTGGACAAAGACAAGTCTGAGGGAACACTTGGTGAAGTGATGTGTGAACATCTAAATGATGATGCCGTGAGTAAATTGAAAATGTATTATCTAAATTAAATAGTTATGTATACATATTATATAGTGATTACTTAGATATTTTTTGAATTGCCTGATGCAACAACCCAAGACCATTTGTCTTGGTGCAGAAAAGTGAGGAGACGCAACTTCAAATAACAGGATCAGGAACAGAAGAAGATATAGTAATTACTTAAAATTTTCAGTTTTTTTTACTTTAGATTTAATTTGTATATGTAAACTAAACAAAAAAGTTATTGGATTGTTCAGACTTAAAATCGAAATGACTATCAAAATAACCAAACTTTTTAGGGAAGGCTATTGTTTAGTGTTTCAGATATTTTATATTCTTTATATTCCTCAAATACTTAAAAATTATATTAAAACTAAAGTATATTAAAATTGTTTTCAATTTTAGATAAAAGCATGGCTGCCAACTAACAGAGGATGTTTTTTCTTATTAAAATTAATTGAAAACAATGAAGAGAAGACATCCAATAAGCTGATAAAAAAGATCAAAAGCTATTCTAATCTTATTAAGCAGCAGTCAACAGAAGGTGCAAAACTGTTGTTACAAAAGGTACAGAATAAATAAAATGTATTTTAAACATAATTCTTTTTTTTATTATTATCACTATCCATACAATTTTTATATTATAATACAATTAAAACTATTAATTACAAATAATCACATGTCACAAAATTAAATTACTGGATTATAAATTTTAACTTATTTATACCCAAATCTTGCCTATAGGTTTTAAACCAATCATGTTGATTACATTCAATGATTTCTCTAATAACTCATCTTGTATGGTCTCTAAAGTCCTGAAAACAAAATTCAAGTAACATAAAAAAGATTAGTTATATTTTTTATAATTTATGAAATTTTCAACAACCAATTTAGTCAATTATTACCTGCTGGCATCTAATAATTCCCAGTTGTCTTCTTGTAACTTTTGGTACATTTCTGAAACTTTCTTTTGAAAATCCAATACTTCATATCTGTAATTATATTACATGTGTTGTTATAATAAAACCAAAAATCTCACATATTTAGAATAAAAAATTGAAACTGCTACCAATGTCAATCTGTCACTCAGCTAGATAGCTAGTCAGTTAAGTTTAACTGAAGGTGAGAGACAGTATACTTTTAGTTACTAGTAATAATATATATAGACAAACTCCATGGGTGAATTCTTCTTGGATATGGACCTACCACATTAGATCCCAAGTCCGAGGTCTCACTTTTAATTCACAGTTTAAATCAATATGGAAATTAATGATTTAAAAATTTGTGAATGAAAAACATAGTATTACCTTTCATTACCAAATCCTTTTCTCTGCAAAATATTATCCAGGGGCATTGTGAGAAAGAATACTTTATCAGGCATTGGTAAACCAGCATCTGGAGATTTGCACCAGTTTAAATCCAAACCTGGAAAATTGTAAATATTAAAAGCATTACATTTATTGACTTCATAACTTTTGTTAATCTACTAAACATTTTATAAAAGGGTTTCATCAAACTCAAGAAGTTAACATATATGTTAATTATATGATAACAGCAATTACCAGCAGGTTTACAAACGGCTGTATCTTTATGCCATGTGGAATTCTCTCCAGCAAACCAGTCAGTTAAAACTGTTTATTTTAATAAAGCAGTAATTTTAAAATATATTATTTGTAATATTATGTTAGAAGTTTTAGTAACTATAAACTAACTATAGTGTAATACCTTTTGCAGCTGAAAAAGCTACACCCGAGTAGCAATATCTGTCAACAATCACACTGATTCCTTCCTCTAACAGTTTTATTATGCTTTTTGCTTTTTCCCATCTATTAGCAGAAAAAAGCAAATGAACTGTTTCATCTGACAACTCATTCTGCAATATATGAAAATTAAGTAAAACAGCTGTGTATATTACACATGAAATAATTACCAAATTAAACCACACATAATTTATATCAATACTAAAATATGATTTCTTTAGCATAATTTAAGTTTATTGAGGTACATAAAATTATGAAAATAGTTCATTTCATGATTATACTGAGATAGGCTAAGCTACAAAATTAGCTTTTTTATTAGTTACACCTAATAAAAAATTTCATTAAGTTGTTTTTAGATAGGGAACGATTAAAAAAAATCTAAATAATTTATGCTTTAGATTTTTCTTCATATTTATTCCAATAAGAATAGGATCTAGTACTACTTTCTATAGATGTCTGTTGAATTAGGGGGGGTTGAGGGGATGAGGGAGGAGGTGTACTATCCCTCTTTAAAAGGAAAAGTTGCAGAGTCCCTGTTTTGATTTTTTTAATTTCTGTGGAGAAGGGGGTTCCCCCTCATCAGAAAAAATAGGGTTCCTGATTCAGAGGGACTTCTGTATCCATTTTGAGATTGCAACTTTATAATAACACTAGGTGTGCGGGATCCTGAAGGTACACTCCTTGATACAGTTTTTGGGATTTGATATTCAGTATAGACGGAAAAAGAAATACGGTTCCAGATCGACAAACGGTTTAATGCGAAGTGACATTAAATTATAACAAAGGAAAACAAAAAGAGTAAGCAGAAACTACCAGATGGACGTTGCTATTAAAATTTTAGCAGGCGTCCGAACATGCCCCCGGATGTTGCAAGGTTTCCTTTCAACCAAACTATTCTAAAGTCAGGGGACAAATCTTGCTGAATGACCTCTTGATGACTCCGCTAGAGGTGCGAATGTCCGCGACTCTGTTGACTCCATCGGCCCCAGGATAAACAGCTACAATGCGGCCAAGCTTCCATTTGAGTGGCGGGAGATTGTCCTCCTTCACTACAACCATGCTGTTAAGCTTCAGCGATGCCTGGTTGGTGCGCCATTTGGTTCTTTGCTGCAGCTCGCTAATGTACTCTTTGGACCATCTGGCCCAGAAATGTTGGCGCATAAGCTCTAGTCGCTGGAACCTTGTCAGATGGCTCAGCTGGCAGTCCTTATACTCGGGAGCAGGCATTGAAGTAAGGGGCTTGCCGATAAGGAAATGCCCAGGAGTAAGCGGCATCAGGTCGTCGGGGTCACTTGAGAGTGGAGTCAGTGGCCGTAAATTTAATATGGCTTCGATTTGGGTTAGGACAGTGATCAGTTCCTCATAAGTCAAGTTACAATTTCCCAATACTCTGTACATGTGAAATTTTATAGATTTAACCCCCGCTTCCCAAAGTCCCCCAAAATGAGGAGAGTAAGGTGGACAAAGGTGAAAGTTTATACCTTCTTCGGCCAGAGAATCAGGTAATGAATTGCAGTTCGCTTTAAGAATTAATTTTAATTTAATTCAAAAGTGGGGTATTAAAAGTATTGGAGGAGGAAATGGCATCTTAACCACACACACACACACACACACACACACACACACACACACACACACACACACACACACACACACACACACACACACACACTGACACACGCGCGCGCGCGCTCACATGCACACGCACACAAACGCACAAGCACGCACGTAAAAAAAAAAATCCATAATAATGCCTAAGTATCAAAAGTTTTCATGTTTTCTACTGTCGTAATTTAAATTATTTAGCAGAATAATGTAAATCCAAATTGGCTTTAAGGTTTAGTAATAAGATTAAGATATATTTTAAAAAAAGTGCTGTGGATTTTGTTACAACAATAAATAAAATAAATAAAAGAAATTTTCCTATCTGATTGTAGGCGCCTACGAATGAAGTACCGTTATCAGAATAAATATGGGTTGGTTTACCTCTTCGCGAAATAAATCGGCGCAGCGCAGAGAGGAAGCTATTGCTAGTCAAATCACCTACCAATTCGATATGAATCGCCTTCGTCTTAAAACATACGAAGATCGCAATGTAAACCTTAAAGATTCTACAACCTCGACCAAGGCGGTTAGCGGAGGAAATGGGTCCAGCATAGTCGACACCTACACATTCGAACGGGTGACCAGGAATAAGGCGGTGCTCAGGCAAATTCCCCATGAGAGGAGTAATGATTTTAGCTCTCATGCGGGTACATGTAATACAATTATGGTAGGTGGCCTTAGCCAAATTGCGGCCGCCGATAGGCCAATAGGCTTCTCTTATAGAAGTTAATAATAGCTGTGGCCCAGCATGCATAAGCCTAATGTGTTCAGCTTTAAATATGAGTTTCGTTAGAAGATGAGTGGACTGCAGAATTATAGGATGTTTTTTCTCGTGCGAAAACTCCGACGCGTTTTCCAACCTGCCGCCAACACGCATAATTTTGGCATCATCTACAAAGGCATTGAACTTACTAAGGGGACTTTTAGGGGATAACGTATGTCCCTGAATTAGGAGCTTGTATTCATCAAACGATTCTGATTGAGATTGCCTAATGATGGAGTTCAACGCGTTTTGTAATTCCTCAAATTCCTCAGAGGTTAAATGAGCGGTTTTAGGAGGTAACTTTCTGCATGAATTAATAAACCTTAATGCATAAGCTACAGCGCGTTTTAATCGAGATAGGTTAGAAAATCGTCTGAAATCAATGAATACATTACCGCGCGAAACACAAACGTGCAATGAAACCTCAGGACAAACTTCAGGGAGATTGGAATTGCTAGACTGGATTGGACTAGGAGGCCACTGAGAGGAATCCTGCAGCAGGAACTGAGGACCTGACCACCACAGATCAAGACCCTGTAACTCTTCGACATCTACGCCGCGAGAAATATGATCAGCAGGATTTTGATCAGTGGGAACGTGACGCCAGGTAAAGTTCTCAGTTTTCTCCATAATCTCTACCGTACGATTGCGGACGAAAGGCTGCAATTTATTAGGCAACATCTTAAGCCAACCTAGCACTATCGTTGAGTCAGTCCAGAAAGTGGTATGTCTGACTTCAACCCGGAGAGATTCTATAGCCTTCTCGTAAAGGCGTACTCCTACAAGAGCCCCGCAAAGCTCCAGCCTAGGAATCGTAGTCGGCTTTAATAGAGCAACTCGGCTCTTAGCCAAAAGTAACGAGACCTTGACCTCTCCTTTCTCGTTAACACTTCTTGCGTAAAGGCAGGCACCATAGGCGCTCTGCGACGCATCAGTAAAAATGTGGAAATCCACAAAAGTATAAGCCTCGCAGACAACAAGGCGAGGGATGCGCAAATTATTTAAAAGGCCTTTGATTACATTAGCCCAAATCTTAGCTAATTCCAATGGGAGTTCTTCGTCCCATGATAACTTATGAACCCATAGCCGCTGCAACATAATTTTGATAGGGCTGATGCAGGGTGAAACTAACCCCATGGGATCAAAAATTCGTGCAATGACGGAGAGCATGGAGCGTTTCGTAGGAGATGAAGCTTCGCACGAATCGACAGAGAAGTAAAGCTCATCTGCGGCTGTGTGCCAACCGAGGCCTAATGTCTTACTAGATTCCAATGATCCGATATTTAAATTCAGGGACGAATTGGCGTCGCACGGATCAGAGGTAAGACAGAGTCGAGGCTCGTTGGACTTCCACTTGTGCAAAGGCATTCCGGCAGATGCGAGCTCCGCGGTAACCTTATTCTTAATGTCCAACGCCTCCTGAAAGGAGTCAGACCCAGTGAGGAGGTCATCCACGTGATAGTCGTGAATGATGATCTCTGAAATACTCTTGCCAATGCATTCTAGGCCAATTTGCTTAAGGCATCTCGTAGCAAGGTAACTGGCACTAGCGCACCCGTAGGTATTTAGTTGATATGCCTTTAGTGGACAGTCTGCAGAATCGCGCCAAAGGATTTGTTGAAGATTTCTGTCGTCAGGATGTACCGCGACCTGTCTGTACATCTTTTCCACATCTGCGGCTAACACATATTTATATAATCTAAACCGAAGGAGTATTGAGATAAGCTCATCTTGCACAGTAGGCCCTACCATCTGAATTTGATTCAAGGATATTCCTGAGGTGGTAGGACTACTGGCGTTGAAAACTACCCGGAGCTTCGTAGTAGTACTATTTTCATTCAATACGCCATGATGTGGAATGAAATACGCAGGTGTATCGGTGTTTAATTTGCATTCCGACATATGGCCGAGCGATAGGTATTCAGACATAAATAAAACATACCTGTCTCTAAAGTCAGGCTGCTTCTCGAACCTACGCTCTAAAGCCTGAAGACATCGCTTTGCGCGTTGCAATGAATCACCTAGGCAGTCAGCAGACTGCTTCAAAGGTATACGCACACAGAAGCGACCGTCAGCTGAACGAGTCGTATTTTTAGTGAAGTGTTCTTCACACTTTCGTTACTCTTTGGAGTATGATGACTTGAGGCCGACCTCTTCCAGCTGCCAGAACCGAGATAAAAGGTTCTGAGTGTCATCAATGCCGAGATTAGGATCCTGAAGAATGTCTACAATTTTTGTAAAGTTGCACGTGAGAGGAGAAGACCCTTGGCCACCACTTATAGGACCGGAAACCAGCCAGCCAAGTCGAGTTTCCCATAGGATTGGGTTATTAGCTCCTAAATTGATCTTTCGCGACCCGAGCAGATCCCAGAATACATTGGATCCAATGATCATGTCATTTTCTGACGCCTTATAAAATTGTGGATCAGCTAAAACAATATTAGCGGGGATATTTAAATGCGAAATATCAATTGAACGGCAAGGCACGTCATCAGTTATAGACGGCAGTACATAGCAAAGTAGACGTTTCGAATAATTTTCACTTCGTGAACTAATTGAAACATAACACATTTTAGTTGTGTTGGTTTTTGTCTTATTGATGCCGAAGATAGGTTTATCTATATCAATATACTTTACATTCAATAAGTGACACATTTTCTCGGTGATTATGCATGATGAACTCGCACAATCCAGCAGAACACGTATGATGCGCTCGTGACCATTAGAATCGGCCACTTTAACTAGAGCCGTAGATAATAATACGTCTTGACGGATCTCTAAAGGCGCATCCGCACAATACGTGGCTAGCGTTAAGCTGTAGTCGCTAGGCGGCACAGTCGGAGGCTGGATGGCGGAGGTTTTAGCCGGGTGATAGGGAGCGGAATGATTAATTCCTCGTTTATCATTAGACAAGGTGTGGAGCCACTTGCTATGCTTGCGCTTACATAAGGTACACCCAGGTCTTCTACAGCGGTTAGAATAGTGACCACTACGAAAGCAGTTGTAACACACTTTAAACTGAGGAATTAATTCCCATCTCTGCTCGTTACTAAGGCCTAAAAAACTTATCGCAGCTATCTAAGTAATGCTCACCCTTACAGTGTGGACAAGACTTATTGCTGGAACCAGAGGTACTACTAGAGCTGCTATCCGACGACGCCTGTGTTCCGGCTACAGAAACCAAAGCTTTAATTTTCTGACCTTTAGGTGGCTGAGGTGGTTGCAATTGAGTGTGAGGAAGATTAGAGCGAGTAAATTCCATTGTTTCTAAAAGATCAGCTCGGTTACGAATAAAATCGAGAAAAATGGACAAAGTTATGGGCTTTTCTTTATCTAGACGACTTTTACACTCTTCCCATTCACGAAACGTCTTATGGTCGAGTTTACGACTCATTATGTGAATAAGAAGAGTGTCCCAATGTTTGGTCGGTTCGCCGAGTGACTCTAAAGCTCTCAGGCTTTTATTCAACTGATCTATTAGGCGCTTTAAATTAAGGGAGGATTCACTTTTAATAGAATCAATGTTAAATAAATTATTAATATGCGTCTGAATTAATAATCTCTCACACAACAGCTGCCACGCCACAGCGTAATTACTCGCAGAGAACTGAATCTCCTGAATCATCACCGCAGCAGAAATTTGTGTATTTCACCGATCGTCTCGTTCGAATGTATGAGGCTTTCGAAAGTGTCATGAAACTCTAACCAATTAATATAGGAACCGTTAAATTTAGGTAAGTTAATAGTAGGCAATTTAATCAGCTGATCATTACTTGCGTGAGAACAACTTTCAAAATTATCGTTTTGTACTGATTTAGAATTACGAGAAAGAATATCCTGAGCCTGTGACAGGGATTTGTAATATATAGATTCGAAATCTCTCTCTGCGCTTTGCGAGCTTACATCATCAGCAAGGCATTCCAACTTAGTTTGCAATACATCATACTGCTCAAATATTAATTCAATTTTACTAATTCTTAACTGCAATTCAAGAACTTGTTGTTGATTCAACGTACCACTCAATTACTCTATATACTTGCCGAATGTAGTCAGACGGCCTTTTAGACTAGCATGCTTTTTAATTAATTCCTTTTGATCTCTCTCACTCATTTTGGAAGTATTTAGGCTGGAACGGGCTAGTTTGTCTGGAATTGATAACAATGCACAATGAAAATAAAGAAACAAAACATAAATTTAATCAACAATTAGGTATGTACCTATGATAATATTTAATTTTACAAGTGTGAAAAAACTATAAATTAATGCAAAAAATAACGATTAAATACAATAAAAAGCACAAGCAAAACATTTAATCTCTATTTATAATTGGAAATGTTTATAATTTTCAACAATTTCTGAGTAAAATTAAAATTTATGTTTTCATTTCTAGTAAAAAGTTATAAGTTAAAATTACACATTTTTAGCAGAATTCAAGTTAATTTTTAAGAAAAATCTAGTAAAGCGTAAACAAGAAAATATATTTATTGATATTATACTATGTTTATGACTATAAATGGCGAATTTAATGAAAACAAATGCAATTAAAGTTTTAGTGAATGCAAGTTGAAACTACCTACAAGTCTATACAGGATATCAAATTAGCTACTTAATACTCAATAATAAGCGAAAAAAAAAACAAAATAAATGGTTTATACAATAGACAAACCTGGTTTTTGCTTACTATTAGGACATAAACAATGTCAGGAGTATGCACTGGTTAACCTAAGCAAAAAAAAAAAACCAGAGTAATGGGTTACCACTAATATTCCTAAAAACTGTTCACTGATCACTTCCCTTATTTCCTGGGTATCTCGGCTCGATGGACCATGTGCGGGATCCTGAAGGTACGGCTCCTTGATACAGTTTTTGGGATTTGATATTCAGTATAGACGGAAAAAGAAATACGGTTCCAGCTCGACAAACGGGTTAATGCGAAGTGACATTAAATTATAACAAAAGAAAACAAAAAGAGTAAGCAGAAACTACCAGATGGACGTTGCTATTAAAATTTTAGCTGGCGTTCCGAACACTAGGTGCAGGACAGACTCATACCATGTGGAGTCAGGGGGAATAAATTTGATTCTTTGCCATAAGTTGAACCTAACCTATTTTGTTTGAAGACTACAAGGGGGAAAACATGGCGTCAGTAAAAAAACATGGAATGTCAGTAAAAAGTTAAAAATTCAAACAAAATTATTAGTTGGTCAGCATGCTATTTTTGTGATTGATATTAAATAAAATCAATCTGCAACAATGTCCAAATGTAGTATTATGCAATGTGTTGTAAGGTAAAGTACAAATTGGAATAGTATTCTAGTATAGTTCACCATTCAAATATTGCAAAATTCTGTGGTTTTTCAGTATTTTTTCTCAAAACTAAGCATCTCTGCATGTGTGATTATAATAAAGTAACCTTTCTGTAAAACAAATATCAACTCCCAACTCAACAGACGGCAATGGAATACAGAGCTAGGATCCTTAAGTGTGAAGCTGATCACACATATCATTATTACTTTTTCACCGAATTTCTAGATCCTTTAAAATTTTTGAGAAAATTTTATTAAATGTAGATGTTTCACAACAGTATAGAAATAAAGGTGACAATTCACAAAAATGATTGTTAGTTAATTAATTCAAAAGCTATATAACTTAACTCACCTTTGATGTCAAATAACTATCAATAACTTTACCAATTTCTGTATTTCTGTCGGGAAAGTTTGTATATATCGCTTGAATCTGTTTGCTCTTCAAATTTTCCACTGTTTTAAAAAAAGAATACAAATAACAAAAGGTACAATAAATAAAAGAAAATACAAGCCATGTAAATTATAATTATTAAAAGAAATATTATTATTACCTAAACGTTTACTTTGTGTTGATTTACCAGTTCTGTCTACACCTTCAATAACTATTAAAGCTCCTCGTTTAAGAGTCATGATAAATGCAGGTTAAAAGTAGATCTTACAAAAAAATACAAAATTGATACTTAGATATGAACAGTATGTCATTGGCATACATTAAATTACATACTATAAATGCAAAGGAAAATAATATAATCGAGTTACAAAAATTAGGAATTACTTTGCAATTTGCATACTGCACACTGCACTTACTGTTTATTTCAGTTTGACATTATAATTGGCGCGTTCTGTTCTGTCAGTCTATCTGACTTTAGGGATGCCGAAATATCCATATTAAGAAATGAATACCAAAAATGATATTATTTTATTCAAATTTAATTCAGCTGATTATTAACAGATTCAAAGCCGTAAAAGATAAATTGAAAATTAAAAGTACGAAAAGATTGTCGCCGCTGTGGAAATCGAACCCACGTCTTCGGCCGAAGTTTTTAATGTTCAATCTTAAGTGCAGAGATTAGCACTATAAATAACTTTAAAATTTGCCTGATATTTCGATATATACTTCTATAGAGTGCGTGTAGGCCTGCAGATAAAAATAAATTCGTACAGGAACTAATATTTCATTTTTTTTTTAACCATTGCCCTTACTTCATGATAAGGTTATCCTGTATTGTAAGGACGCTTTAAAACATAAATTTCTCGTGGACGAACACCCAGATATGAAACAATTATCTGCGGGTAACACAAATAGTTGTCCCATGTGGGGGGAATCGAACCCACGACTCCCAACACCGAAGTCAATACTTTGGCAACTGCGCTACGGAGTTATCAAAATGTCACTCAATTCGTATTATGAAGTCATCAAATCAATTTGCATTACGAGTATGTATGGCAAAATATTGATAAAACACTGTGCACTGACCAGCTGTACACAGTAAATAAAAGTTACAAATTCGTTCGGAATGGCGTTAGAGTAACGGTAGAATTGATTATTTACCTTTTTCAGTTGAATTGTATTGTTTTTTGCTTGATTATTGTTGTTTGCCTATAATCCCCCTCATCTGTACTTCTTGTTTTGTGAGGTAAATGTGTAGTTTTGACGGCTTGAGTTCAGGAGATAATGACACCGTCCGCTCCACTGCAAGTACCCGAATCCGGTTGACCAAAGATGGCTAAGAAAATTAATCAACAATACAACAATAAATACAAAAACGGAAGCAACATGCTAACGATAATGAAATTATTCACAAATAAAATTATTATAATATGGAATTTAAGAAAATAATCTATTCACAAAAACCGTTCACCTTCTAAAGTTAAAAGATTCTTAATTAATTATGTAATTAAATTGTTTAATCTTATTATTTCTTAGATTATATTTTTAAATTCAATCGGTTGAGATTATCCCCGTTGGTAACACTTTTTCTTCATATATCATGATAATCTATGGTTAACCTACTCTATTCCCCGCTCTCTCTCGCCAATGTTCTGTACGTACTCTATGCTTTTGCTTATCACTTGTGTTTGACCGACGGTAATGTGTGGTCGTTTTGTACTTTCTTTGTTTTGATTTTCATTGTTGATGTCTCGTATTTTTCGTTTTTAAAATCATGAAAAAAGGATACAAAGTTACAGACGTAAAAAGAGAAAAAAAGATCGGTGTTGCTGCAGAAAATCTCCAAGAGTTAATTGAAAAATCGTGCAAAAAGTTGGGTGTAAGTTAATGTTTGGTGTTAATATTTAGGTTTGAAATTAAAAAAATTATTTGCAATACTTGAGTATATTTAATTTCTATTTCTGTTGGTTTTGATATCCAGTACCGTTATTTGACCGTATTATGCGCCTGTGCAATATGGGCCAAGGACAATTTTCCTTGACCTATTTTAAGCAACCTTGAACTAATTCGATGTGACGGTTTTCAGTTCAATGTCAGCTGCGCAGATTGCCGGCTTTTCGTCGCTGAGGACGGTACCCAGGTGGACGATGATGATTATCTTGCAACTTTACCCCCTCAGACCTTATTCATTTTATTAACCAGCAAACAAAAAATGGTAACTGGTATGTTATTACTTTGCGATAGATGATTTCAGCCAATTTCTTTAGTCTTTCGGAACTACTAAATTCCGCAGGGTCCCCTATGAAAATGGGTGTCCCACAAGGATCGATCTTGGGCCCATTATTATTCTTAGTATATATAAATGATCTCCCCTTCTATGCCAGTGAGTTATGTGATGTTGTACTGTTTGCTGGCGACACATCGCTTATTTTTAAGGTTGACCGAAATGTATCAAATTACGACGACGTGAATAGTGCACTTTCGCGTATCCTCCACTGGTTTACCATTAATAATATGGTGTTAAATGCTAAAAAAACTAAATGCCTTCTTTTTGCCCTTCCCAACGTAAGAAGGCAAAGTTTTAGCTTAAAATTGAATAGCGTAACCCTAAATCCTGTTGAGTCCGCTGTATTCTTGGGAATCACAGTAGATTCAAAGCTCCAATGGAGTCCCCATCTATCATCTCTTGCGAATAGGTTAAGCTCCGCTGTTTTTGCAATTAGGAAGGTTAGGCAGCTATCAGACATCGACACTGCCAGACTTGTTTACTACAGTTATTTTCACAGCATCATACGGAACATTGTCGTACGGCATTTTGTTTTGGGGTAGTGCATCTGATATAAATTCCATATTTATTATTCAAAAAAGAGCAGTCCGTGCAATCTATAACATCAGAGCCCGGAATACACTCAGTGATCTTTTTAAATAGATGTATATATACTCACTGTTGCCTCTCAATATATTAATTGTAATATTTTGTATGTTAAACAGAATATTTATAATTATCAAAAGAATAGTGACAGACATGAACTAAATACTAGAAATAAGGACAAACTAACTACGCCATTATTTCGCCTACAAAAAGTAAACAGATCGTTCATGGGGCAAAGTGTGCGCATGTATAATAAAATCCCACAGTCGATGTTAAGTCTGCTACTTGATGAATTTAAACGAAAAATTAGAAGTACACTTATGGCTAAAGCCTATTATACTATTGCCGAATATCTTGACGACGCCAATGTGTGGGGTTAATACTGTTGATACTCACGTAGGCTAAAACAAGACTATTGTACCTGTACTATTATATTGTAAACTGATTTTTTAAAAAAGAGCAACTGTTGAGTTTCTTGCCGGTTTCTTCTCAACAGAAACTGCTTTCCGAACCGGCGGTAACTTGCGAACGTGTTAATTTCTTGAAAAATTTTGACGTTTCATAAGAACGCGCAAGCGTCTATGTAAATAAAGATATTTTATTATTATTATTATACAAGTAAATTACCCTTGGCGGTTTAATATCCAATAAATTACACAAATTCAGTGATAATTAAATTTTACAATCTTTTATTATTCCAGATTTTGAGTACTACTATAATGTAATTAGGTCTACAAAACAGGATTATATCAACACTGGTGTCGCTGCTAAAGAATTTCTTACCACAAACATTCAGGAAAAGTTTAAAGTGTTCCAGAAGTATATAGCAGCTGCTGATGATGCTAAAACTATGCTTAGTGAAAGAACTCAGGATCCAACTTGGTTTGAAGGTAAATGTAATTTTATCACACACATGGAAACCATAAGTTTTGTATGGTGGATAAAAATATGAATAATAAATTGATAAATTTATATGAATAAAAAAATAAATAATGCTTTTCAACTGGTGGAGTATATATATACTGGCACAGATGATAGATTATTTAAATTAAATGATTATTAGTTATTTTTATGCTAAAGAATTATAACTTCTTATGGGCATACATAATTAAACACATACTTTTTTAATGTGAAAGATTTATTGGCGCATGGCAGTAAAATTGGCTAGTTTGCCATCACGGCAAACGGCATGACACTGGTGTCATTATGCCCCCTCCATGCAGATGCTTAAGGGAGGCTTGTGTGTGACTTCTCTGTTCAATCTGCATACTATTTTTTTTATTGGTCTATAGTATACTTAATACATTAACTTCATATATTTATTACATTAACAAAATTCTACTTTTTTTACTCCATATTTCCTCTATGGATTTTTATTTTCTTTATATATATATTTCTTCTGTATGTGTGTATCTTACTGAACTCCTGCTAAACGGCTGGACTGATTTTAATGAAGTTTTATGTGTCTACAGGTTGATTCGAGAAAGGTTTAGTGTCACAATTTGCTCCAGATTTTTTTTTTATTTTTATTTATTAGTTGTCGGATTTAAGTTGTGTGTACAAGGCAATGTCTGTCGGGTCCACTCATTAATTATAAGTTATTAAATTAACTTGAATGTTCCGCATCTGCCAAGTGTCCAATGATGGCCTATTATTTTTTTTATTTGCAAGATCTTTTCTATGATATACTACAATATTCAGAAAAAACTTTCATAAACTCCCTTATAATGTTTTTACTATGTAGCATTGACATGCATTTTAAATGTAATAAATAATTGGGATTAAATTGGTATAAAGTTTCACCTAGAAATAATATTTCGTTTACAAAGTTGAAATACACTTAAAAATGAATAACTATGAATAACTATGAAAAAAAAAAACCCATACTTCAATGGAGACGTAAAATTCGCCCATATACTCTGTTTGCTTTAAAAACAAATAATAAATATGGTCCATTGTTCTCGATAGAGGGCGCGCACAGCTGTCATTATTGTGAAGTAGGTTTTGCGTGGAATAAGCGCTTACGGAAATACGGCCTCAATGCAAATTATGCTCCATTTAAAAGACAATTTGACGCTTACTGTAACCAAAGTATACTCGTTCTATCTAAATAGAACTCTTGAAGCATATAATCAGAATGAAAAATGCTTTAATGTGTCTTTAAACAATGTACAATAATATCGAAAGCAATTATGAAAATGAGATAAGGAAAGATATTTTCCGACAATTATTGCATTTCTAGAAAGACAATTGCACTTATGTATAATATGTTTTACTATAAAGTAAATCGATCACTCATTATTTGCTCTGCTAGTATAGAAAAGGAGAGATGACAAGTGATGATCTTGGTGCGCTGCACCAGGCACTAATGTGAGGGGGTGGTTTTTGAACATCTGAAGCTCATTGCAGCAAGTCGTCTGGATTTGACTCCGCAATCTCAGGTCGCAAATCAACGATTTCTAGCCACTAAGTCAGTCTAAGTTTTCGGGCGTTTGCTTTTTATATAATATTATATTCGAAAAAATCGAGTACCGTCAACAAAGAAATTGTTAATTGCAACTTTTAGTGCTGATTTATCATGTGCTCTGCAGTCACTGAAAACGTGACACAACCTGCAAATAATATAAAATTATCGAAGAAATGTGAAGTCTGCCTAGCTGCAGTGGGGTTGCGTAGTAGAATATACACCTTAATAGCCTCGGTACAGAGAACGTCTGCTTAGCAGTGGGACACATACAGAAAGTATATAGGCTGTTACAAACCAATCATTGATCATTGTCCTATTGGAAAGTAAGAGAAGTGAAATTGGTATCCAAGCTTCCAGGTCAAAATTTTAACTCTTAAGTGAAGTAAAAACCTAATCCCTTCTTTGCGAGTCTATGCAGGGTATGTCCCACTTTATGAGCCCACTTTATTTATAGGTGGCAACACATTTGCAACCCTACGGGTGTTGCAAATGTCCATGGGCGGCGGTTATCACTTAACATCAGGTGAACCGCCAACTCCTTTGCCACTTTCTCACATAAAAAAAAAATGTCCACGCAGTAGCGTCTGCTGTTGAAACAGTGGACAGGTTCGCTCGGTAAAGTACCTCTGCCTCACAGAAAGATTGGCGTGAAGTGGGAGTAATTGTTTATACATTTTCGTTTTATCTGGTGAGTGATGTAGTCAGGGGCTACTTCTTATAGGTTTGAAACGCATCTATCATTTCTTCAGCTTCAGTTAACACCAAACGATGAATTTGCTCGTTGCTAGGTGACATAAAATAATTGCGCTCATGCAGCCGTACAGGAAATCGCTCTTTGGCGAAACACTGTTCGTCTGCTAACTTTTCTCATAAAAATAAAAAAAAAGGCTCTTTCTATTGTGTTTCTACTCCAAGACTACTTGTCAACGTGTGGTGTGATACTCGCCCGCCAACCAGTTCAAGCCCAACCTTTTGTGTGTTGCAAATAAAACACCCGATCCGATTTCAGGCTTAGAGCCATCCGAGAAAACGAAGGAGCAATCCATGTGCAAACGAGTCAAGGAGAGGATGCGCGGATATTTCTACAAGACCAAAAGCGCACTTCAGTCGTCAGACCTCTACGTGCACTCGAAGAGTGGGCGCGGTAAGAAATTGATCGATCAGTTCCTACTAGATCTTAGGAGGATCCTCGAGTCGAACAGGCACAATGAGGGCTACTTCAATAGGAAGGCGCCCAAGGATATGCGTTTGTGCGCGGACGACGGGCTGTTTCTTTGCGGGGGCCTGTGGAGCGACGACAAATGCAATTACGGCGGCGAGCACGCGATAAACCCGTACAGGAGCCGCGAGGAGCGGATCATATTCCAGACCTGGAACCTCGACCACAAGATCGAGCTGTCGCGCTCGATCATCCCCAGCGTACTGAGGGCAATCGGGGCTTTGTACAACGGCGAATTTCAGTGTGTCGCTTGCGACAGATGGCGCGGCGACGGCGGAATAGAAACTGACAGATACTATCTGCAGATATTCACGAGGGAGAATTTGAAATTGGTGCACATAGTGTGCCATTACAAGGGGAAACACGATGTCGGCTCCGACATGTTCACGGTTTGCGCGTCGTGCATCGGAAAATATGATCGATTGAATAAATAGTTATCTCGCTCGGATTATTTAATCTTAGTCTGTAAAAAGACAAAGCATTCGTCAACTTTTTTTTTCTATGGTACTGTTAATGTTTTTCAGATCTGTGATATCGATTAATTTAAGTTGAATTTAGTTTTTGTTTTTTTTTTATTTTATATTGGTCTTTTGTTTTGGAAAATGAATTATTCTTTTTACTCATAATGATATCAATATGAGCTTAGTATAAAAAATACTTACTAAAGTACCAATTGTGTCAAGTGTCATGTTGTAACAAAGATATTTTAAGTTGACTATTATTGTTACCACGGTGTTACATACAGGTCTTGCAACTAGATGTAAGCCTTGTAGTAGACAGTCCAGAAAATCTAATATTGTCACTGCGGCCGTGGGTTGCATCAAAATAATATATGTATTTTCAGAACAGAATATAACATGATATTTGGATCGTCAAAAATATTTGAAAATCATAATTTTATTTTAATTCTCTCTTGACTTTCATAATCTCTATAACCAATAAAGTTTCATTTCAAACTCGAACTCGTGAACTCTGTACACAGGCACTTTTTTTTAAAATCCTATAACCCGATGTTGGTTTCAGTCATAGTTTGAAGTGGTTAGATTATTGAGAAGTTGTGAAATAATTAACGTGGATTTAAATCGCGCAACTTAATTATGAGCATTTATTATCAATCTGCTGAATACAAAAACTTTCGCAGCCGACTATCGAATTTCTTCGCACGGGGTATGGCAATTTGCTGCTATAACACGTCGAAACCCAAAGTTGCAAGACCTAGACCTTGAATTTGACCTTAATTTTAATTTAAAAAAATATAGTTAATAGTGCAGTTATTCGGCACTCTAATTGACATCAGACATACATTAAAAACATTTTACTCGCACACAATAGCGACTATTGTATTACCTGAATACCGAAAATTACGTCTTTTAGTTTTACCAGTTTGCAGGAGGTGGTTCATAGTGTTAATTAAGATGCGTATTGGAATTATATAAAATATCACGTAGCCTTCTAAAGTAGTGATTTATTGTCTTTTGAATATATAGATAGTTAAAAATGTAACCATAAAGTAGATGAAATTTTATATTCCTTCATTACATTTCCTACACCCTTTATAAATTAAGAATTCTATCATACTGGCTTTTGATAAGGATTTGTTGTTATTTGTAGAGTCAGAATTAAATTAAAATGAAAAACTTATTTTTACAAATGAAAACAATGCTTACCGTTTTTTTCGGTTTGTCTTTGTGTGAATATCACTGTTTCTATTTTTACCCTTCATTTCAACGTAGTGATTACATTCTCTTTACTTCATTTGATAATCTTATCAATCGCCATCATGGTAGTTAATATTAAATATTTAAATATATTGTTCGTTAACTGTTAATTATAAAATATTTTACTGTTAAAAAGAAAATTATTTTTATACTATGTTGTAGTAATGTTCAAGTATCCTATAATAACTACGGGTTGTGTATCTGTTGGTAAATTATATTACGTTAACAGACTTCTAAAGAAATATTTCTTTAAAAATAATAAATTTAAATCTATTAAAACAGGGTGATAGCTAGCCATATACAATACTACAATTTTCGATTTTAGTTCCACGTAAAAGGCAAAATATTTTTTGCTGAAATGCTTAGAAAATTATACAATGGCCATAATTGTTTAGAAACTTTATTTTATTTATGTTTTGAATAAATCTGTGTTTCCAACGAAAAATTTAAAACTTATAAATTGTTGCAGAGCGAGTAAAATGGTTATATTAATATACTCATGTATAATCTACTCATGGAATGAATTTCTAGGCTTTGGATGAATTTATAAAATTCAAAACATTAATCAATCCTCCAACGTCTTCGAATCTGTCTTGCAATCTTATTTAAGTAGTAAGACTTCTTAGATAGCTCTGATTTACAAAATTAAGGAATAACTTATTTAAAAATTCTGTTTGCATAGTATTTTGTAACTAACAATATTTAACTTTGTTGCGATATATAAATACTGCAGTTTCTAATTAATTTTTTATGTGTTTTTATAAACAATTTCTTCTGAATCTGAAATCTGTCATAGTGAGAGATTGATTCTATTAAAAATTACAGTTAATCTAAAGAAATGAAATTTAGCCACAAATTGTTTTCATTAACTTTGACGTCTTTTATTGATTTACGAAATGTGATTGTCTGCAAATGAAAAATGAGGAACAAAATTAGCCTCATTATTTTTCTATAAATTCTATTTTTCTATCTTAACGCAATAAATCGTTTTAACGAAAAGTTTTCATAGCTATTAAGAAACAGTAGCGGAAATATTATGTGACAAATTAGATTAGACTATTAACTTAGATTTATATAAATAATCAGCAATATTATCATGTAGCGCATATTATTGTGATATCGTAAGTATTGACCAAACTGAAATTGCTACGAAATATTTGACATTGGATTATGTTGGCACGAAGCAAAAGAGTTATCCAGGCCTATACTTTTATCTGTTTATAGTTGGTACATGTAAAAAAATATCAGGTTAACATATAAGTAACAAAACAAGTTCACAACAAACCAAGGAAACAATCTTGGTCTTCATGATTCTCACTCTATATACGGATATAGAGTGAGAAGCCTTACGTTGACTCTTATACGAATGTGTGTTTACTCAGATGGGATTTGAATGTGGCCAGATACTAGTGTAGTACTTAGTCACTAGTGTAGATCTTAACTTTGTCACTATCTTATAAGTGTGCTGATGAGACTATTATTGGTGTGGATTAAATTTCGTGAGATCTTGTATACAGCGTGTTACCATGGCGACAATAAATGAACACACCTCTAACGCTACTTGCCCATAATCATAAAAAAAATATTAACGTAAAAAATATATCCATATATTTTTTTTTTTCAAACAAACTAAGTAAACGAGAAACAAAATTTGTAACATCCTATACAACTACAACTGAATGATTCATACATTCAGAGACTTTCACTCGTTGCCACAGAGTCGCATTACAAGCCTCTCCTTCTAACAGTATGTTTTGTCTCTTTTAAATTCATTCAACCCATTCATATGCTTTGTGACCTTTACAAATGAACTTTAGGTTACAGTTTTATACGTAAGGCTGTTCTAAAATTCTTTGTTTTGGAAAATTTAATAATTCTGTAAATATTGATGTTTAAAGAATGTTAATGTTTAATACAATTTTAAAAAGTTATCCTCTCTATGTGTGTTAATTTATTGTCGTGATTGTAAAGACACGCTGTATTGTACCTTAAGGCTGGTCAGGTTGTGTTTAGTCGAAAAGGAACTTTACTTAAATATATATAGATTATAAAGACAGAGGGCGGCAAATAACGTTCAACAGCGTACCAGAGCGTATATGCTGAGCCAACGGAGTTGTAGGTTCGATGCCAAGCTTCAAGTGGATTGGTTTTAGATTAATTCGTTAACTATATCAAACGTAATAACATAAAATTACTTTGCTCCAGTCTTCTGTGAAACACGGCGGTGAGCTGATTTCAATGGACCCTCAACAATATGCCAAAGTATCTGCTCATGCTGGGTTCTTGGACAGTAAGTCTTTCTAGGCTCTTGCGAAGCCGTATGGGGGCTGATGATTAAAATATCGATTGGACTATGTCTAATGTCGCTAAGCTCGGTATAATAATAATTATTCGTTTGCTTCCTTTTCCATGTTCACTGCGCCGTCTATAAATTTAAACGGAAATACACGATATCACGATAATACGCTTTAATATAGTTAGAAATAAGTGTAACGGTAGACGCTTCCATATAGCTTTATAGATGTTATGTGTAGACGAGATGTGTTTCATGGTCGATTAGTCTGAGATATTTAGATTTTCTGAATATACTGTATTACTAATACCCTTTTCCAAGATCTGATAGGTAAAAGTTTATTATATTATTGTAGAAGGATATAGTATATAGTGTTAAAATAATTATATAATTATTACCAATGTTATATCGAAATGGCTTACTCATATGTTTGTGCGTGAATTAATTTAGACAATACATGGGAATTTTGAGTCATAATTTATACAAAATTAATCTGTTTTAAACAATTTTTTGACAGCCACTATGTGGAACTCTATTGTTATAAAATAAGCTATGGTTTTTTACGTTATAGTAGCTGTAGGGAAAATGTAAACTAATGTATGAAAAAATATCTAATATTATTTTAAGAGAAATTATTTAACAAAAATCAATTGAATATTGTAGAACGTTGAAATGATGTTATGCATTAGATGTTTAAGAGAAATGCAACTTAAATATTCGTGTTGTTTTATTTTGAATAGTTTTCATTCTTATAAAACTTTTTTCCTGTCTTTTTAGTAATAAGTTTTGGCAGTCGAAAAACTGACATTCTGTTGCTGGGGTTCGGGGGAGTCTTGCTAGTTGACACTGGCTGCTAATGCTATGAACTTAAATTAATAAAAATTTAAAGAAAAGCGGCGGTCACGCACCGCACTAGAACACGAAACCACGAAGCGAACTACATTGATCGTATTTAAGATTTATTGCATTTATTAATTGTGAAATTTCCTATTTATAAACCGTTGTTGCTTCCAACACCTTTTTTAATTTTAGACGCCTTAGCACCGCTCAAGGTAACAAGAGAAGATCACTGGAGAGTAATACTAAATACATAACATACAACGGTTACTATGCTCGAACAATGGGACCTTAACAGCCCTCCGGGTCCTTCGAAAGGTCCTTAAACGAGTGATGCTTGCGTGTGCACCCAAGCTCTTTTCCGATATTTCGGAATCCAAACTTGATTCTGCAGGGGACGCTCGGCTGTCAATGCGATGCAAACGATCTTGGACGTAGCCCAAAATTCCAAGTTTAAATACATCCAGGCGCTGTGTCCGGACATGCATCCGGCGTGGTTGATTTATAAGCGATATAGTGTATTGGTAGATGTCCACAACGCGCTGCCCGCAGGGTTCGGTTCTCGGCGCGATCCTGCGAAACGTCCTCATGGATGGCATCCGCATCCCACAGAAGAGAAGAGTCAGAGCAATTGCCCACGACAACGATGTCACTTCTTATCGAGGCCTCTCGAAATAAAATATAATGCTTTAAACTCCACCAACACGCTCACGCCAGCAGTAACTGGCATTTGAAATTTTCTTTGGCTCTTGGTTCCTTAATCATTTTCACACAATTCCGCCAGACAGTCTTGAAACTTTCACCTAGATTCCTTGATGTTTGTACATCTACTTTTGTTTTAGCATATGTTGGAAAACGCTGCAACGCCATTTGACGGTTTAAAAGGTGAATCCCAATTACTCTAAATCTAAAAGCTTAAGTTTACACTGAGTTTTTTTGACGAGTGCCGTAAAGCAGTTTTTGGGTATCACTACACCAAATTTCATTGAAATCGATTAAGTCACGTGAAAAAGCGACACAGATTATACAGGGTAGACTTAAAAATATGTCTGTTTTATAGTTGAGATATTTAATAAACAATCATAATATGACTTAATATCTATATCTTCACCGCCTCTTTCGTCCTGGATTCTTTTTGTTTGGATTTCTTTGACCTTTTCCACCTTTAGGCTTCTTGGCTGTGAAATTAGTTGCATTGCCACCCTTAATCTTCCGTTTTCCCTTTCCTAGTTTGACAGTTTTCTTCTCCTCCGACCTCCTAATAAAAATCATAAATAATATTATATATCTTATATCTTAAAGTATTTCTAAAACTTTGTGATGGCTTCAATCAAAATATATTTAAGTAACATGGAACTTATGCAATATAACTATAATGATCATTTGACAATTTTTCTGATTAGAAAGTAACATTTTTGTTTTTTTTTGTCATTTTCCAAGTCTCTTATACTCAAATAAATCCTGTTGAAGTATAAAGTAAACTATTGCTTAGCAAAGGCCTTCTCATATATATAATAAATTGTGTAAAGTCTGCTACACAACCTCACTGTAGATTAGTGGACTTATTTTAGATATTTTTTTTTATTATTTTAAGGTACTTCTTTCAAATCACATGTATTATTAATTTTTAACCACTTAATAGAAAAGAAAAACTAATAAAACTTAGTTAAACAGATAATTAAATAAGAATAAACAAATTCTTTCGTTCTTAATAAACAAATTCTTTGGTTCTAACACCACGGTTTCAACTCAGTTTGCTTGAATATACTGTATGAGTGTTCAGAAATTCGAGCTAAAATAGCTCTTTTTTTCAAAAAGCTTTTGCATAAAAGGAATTGTGAATCACCAATTAATTATTATTGATGACAATCATTATTATAAAATAGCAATAAGTTCTATTTCATTCTCAACAAATAGTTAAACAATTATTATTACTTACTGCAATTGTTCATTATTTATATGCTTTGAAACTGCTTTGTCCATATCAATTTTTGGTCTTTTATTTAATATTTTGTCTATGAGATTTAGATTGTTTTCTTTTTCTGCCTGAGGTGTTGGAATAGGTGCCTTTCGTTTCCTTTCTTTGCCAGGTATAAGTTCATGAATCCCCTTGCCACGGGCTTCTTTCTCTTTTGGGAGTTTGTCTTGGAATTTACCAAGTGAGGCAGTTGAGGCTTTCGCAACTACAGCTGCAGTAGCAAGCTGAAATACATACCATCATAATATTAAAAACAGAATTTATATTAAACTAAAACAGTTATTAAGAAATTAAATTGCCAAACAAACAGCAAGTGCCTGGCTAGTGTGTTCTTTTGGAATACAAGTCTTCATTTACTATGGGACTGTAATTGTTTGCTAGTACACTTCAATTGTCACTTACTCTGATAATACCTTAATAGATTACGAAAGTAGGCAAATAATATTAGATGTGATATTTCAAAGCTGTTCATTGAAAATACAATTATATAAATGGTAATGGAACCGACACAACAAACAATTATTGGTGGGGCTATTAATAATACAAGACCTTAAAAAATTTTCACATAGTATTGGCAGCCGTACTTTTTAAATTGTGATATTGTTTTATCAGAATCACCTGTATGGCATATAAAAGTATCATTACCTGTTGAGCATTTGCTTTATCAGATGTCACAGGCAGTCCAACCCTTGGTACTTTAACCTTTCTGGCTCTGGCAATGTTTTTCAGCCTTTGCAGTTCATTCTTGGCTACTTTTTCCGATTTTTCACTAGCTTTCTTCTCATACATATCTGTCATTGGATCAATGTGCTGTGGTACTTCTATTAGCCAATTCTTCTCTTTCTCAGCTGCTGCTCTCTTGAATCTGTAAGTAATATACATTATGTACCTATGTGATTTTTCATGACACATGTTATAAAAATTTTCTATTGATTTGCAAAACAAAACATATTCTTGTGAAACTACTATTTGTGTAAGCAAAGCCACTACATTTTAAAGAATGAGATATTTATTTAAGTTTTCATTGCTTGGTTATTTATTGTCGATTGAATTACATCAATTCATCTTAAACTAATTTTGTTGATTTTACCTAAATGAATTATAGGTAATTCTGTTTTAATTTCTTTTTGCAACTATAATACAATAAAATATGGAATCCTAAAAATTAAATGACTATTAAGACATTGATCTATAGTTATAAATAAAAAATATATTGTAATAAATAATTAATTAATAAATAAAAATATAAATAACAAAAATAAATTTAGAAAAAGGAGTATCTAAAAACATTTTTTATGAAGTGCATACTAATGTATAGAAATATTACACACACAAAATATTATTTATTCATCATCCCTTTACATTGTTATACAGCATGCTTATATACTAAGAACTTGTAATGGACATTTTTTGTTGATTAGCAGAAGTGCTATAGCTGAAAAATGCCTTCACACTTTTTAGCTGTAAAAATCAACTATTCATTTAAAAGAAAAACATTAGGGATGCTGCACACAACTGTGTTACTACACACACAGCCTTTTAAAAGCTTTATAAACTCACCCAAACAATGGCACCCATTTCTGTAACTGTTCATCCCAATGCAATTTGTCTTTCTTTTTGTTTGTAATTCCCTTAGATTTAGCAAATTCTTGCCATTTAGTTAAGGGCTTCGGCTTGGGGACTGGTTTAGACCTAGGCAATATAGTTTTTGGTGCTGGTAACCTAACTACTATTGCTTCATCTATCCTCTCTGTTGGCAACTCCCAAACTTTGTTTAATAACAATTGTGTATTATCACGAGCTAATTCTTGTAGATAGTTATCCCTTTCCTCATCAGACCTAAAATAAGAATTTGATAAAACACAATAATGTAAACAGTTCATAATAATCAGTACAGAATATATATAACTGAAAATTTGTCGTTATTAAATCGCATACAAACAGACTACAATAGAAACTATGTAAACAAATGGTTTAAATTCAATATAACACAATTAATAAAATGTAAAATCATTCTATGGAAATACTAGCTTGATTAACAATAAGTTCTTTATTATACACCAGAATAGTTTGCAGTTGGCACATTTTTTCCTACTTACTTGACCCTTATCATTATACTTTAGGTAATTAACACATATCTTTATAGATTATAGCCTGTGTTATTCTGAGGTATAAGCTTTATAATTGTAGTTTCATTAAAATCAATTCAGTACTTTTTGCGTGAAAAAGTAACAAACATCCATACATATAAACTTTCAAGTTTATAATATTAAATACTAGCTGCTGCCCGCGACAACGTCTGCATAGAATAGGCTGAAGGCATAACATTCAGACAGAAAGACAGATATAAATAAAATATGTATATATATTATAGCCTATGTATTATTCTGATGTATAAGCTATATTATGGTAAAGTTTCATTAAAATCCATTAAGTAGTATTTGCGTGAAAAAGTAACAAACATCCATCCATATAACATACTATCGCGTAAGTAAGGATAAGCAATCAAAGATTTCAATTCAAATGAGTAGGTATATGTTTCAAGTATGATGTACTTACTGTAAGGCCTTTGAATCCAAATCGTTAGTATCTGAAGCCAAAAGTGTTCCAACGTCAAACTCTACTTCCAAATGTTTTTCTACTGTGATTGGTTTGTATTTTTCAGCTTTCTTTTGCTCTCTTTCGAGAATTTCGTTGACAATGTCCATTTTTGTTGTATTATGGTCGAAAACTCGAAATAAGAAAAGTTAACCTCAATCTGTTGTGTCATTCCATGACAGAACGTAGTGAGAGAATATTTTGACAACCACGTGTGAACTGTTTTTTTTTTTTTAAATAAAGATTTTATAGCCTAGTAAAAAAACCTTTTAGCCATCTTATGTGAACTGTGAATAGAGAATTATGTTAAAGAACAACACAGAAGATGACGACGAAGAGATTTCATGGAATACTTTTAGACAATCGTTGACCTTAACCGCGGCTAGACCATAGGACTCAGTAACCATCCCCAAAGCAAAGCACATGTCAGGTTACGTCCTTAGGCCATAATAAAAAAAAAAACTGCCAACCTTGCCTTCCCGGATCCGTGGAACGTAATGAATGTGATGTACCCCACTTTAATCTCTTCCGGGATCATTAGGTTTAAACCTGTTGGTGTTAACGCAGCCCTATCCTTACTATAATGTTATTAAGGCGAAAATTTGTATGTATGGATGGATGTTTGTTACTCTTTCACGCAAATACTACTGAAAGGATTTTAATGAAAGTTTACAATTAAATAGCTTATACATCAGAATAAAACATAGGTCATAATTTATTTACATATTTTTATGTAATACATGAGCTTCTGTCTGAATGTTACGCCTTCAGCCTGTTCTACGCAGACGTAGTCACGGGCAGCAGCTAGTCTTCGATAACGCATTCCACCTCAGACAAGTCAACTGAATTGACGCTTTTGCGAGATGACCTAGTGAAATGCTGTTAGACTTAACCAACGTCGATAGAGATTTGAGAAACCCTGCTTTCATAAATAACAGCCAATACATGTCCCACTGCTAGTAAAGGGCCTCCCCTGTACAGAGGATATCAGGGTATAGTCCACCACGCGGCCCAGCTGCGAATTGGTGGACTTCACATATTTTCGATTTTTTTTTGTTATTATTTCGAAAATATGCAGCTTTCCTCACAATGTTTTCCTTCACTGCTGATACATGATAAGTCAGGACTTACAAATTAATAGTGTCATTGGTGTCGGAACCAGGGATCGAACTCAGGTTGCTCTAGTATATTGAATTAAAGGCGAGCGCCCGGACACTGCGCTATTACGCCTGCTTTCATACTTAGAGCCAACTGCCAATAGGCGTTGTGCGATGTCACGAAGAGTTCGAGTAGGGGGAGCCGCATGTGTATTGGCGTTGTTTCAATTGGCAATTCACGATCTTGGTGTTCTAGTTGAAGACTTAAGTCGGACCTGGATTATTGTACATTTAATTGATGCAAAACAATAAGTATACGACCATTAATGATATATCAGAGTGTCTGTTTCGCGGATATTCTCGCCATTAAAACCCTTTGTAGCGCAACCAGCCGCCTCATGTTGTATATGGAATACGCAATTGTCTCTGGATCAATTCAGTTATCCGTCTACCTTCAATGAAAAAACGTCAATAAGACATTTTAGAATGTCAATTAAGTCCATTCATGAAAACGTTCGGTATCTATCCTACAACATCTCGACCGCACATATTTCCAATACGACGCCATACTATAAACGTTTTACACAATCTCGAGGCCATATAAACGTGAACAGGCCAATTTCCAACTGTGCCAGCAAAGCCTTAGTGCGAAACGCATCCCATTCGCTTTCAAACTTACGTCAGGCACAGCACATGTGATTGTTTTTCTAAGGACGACTCTGGATACGATCATTCGCTCTTTACGTAATTAAATACGAAAATTGCGTTTCTAATTCTTGTGTTTTTTTTGTCATATTTGTTTCGGTCATTTGACTTGCGTGTTTTTCGTGTCTAGCGGATATATTTGCTACCACTATCGATTGCGATCCAAGTCGAGGCTAAGACCTCCATCTGTGAGCGCCTTTAGATTGCCTAATGGGGGCCCCATGTATCGTAATCGATCTTTCGTGGACACCGTGGACCGTTTGTAGACCTCTTTTAAAGTTGTCACGAGTTTTCAACAAATTACACTACAAAAAATGTAATGAATATTTCTTTCGCGTTGTTGAAAATTAAAATTATTTTTTGTGTCTCTAGCACACGGTGTCAATTGGCTTAAAGGTCTCGTTACCCGTAGGCCATAAAATCTTTACAAAAAAGGTGTCAAATGTCAATTGTCCAGGTGTCCACTGTCAACCCGCAACCGAACAACCGATTACTTTATTGATTACTCGAACTCGAATTTGGTTTTGCCTTAGAAGAAGAAGAAGAAGAAGTAGTTTAATACTCCACAGAGTACACTGTAATTTAATTTTTATATTGCGAAATTATACTTTTTCAAAATGTAAGAAACCGGCGAAAACAAAACCTTATCCAATGTGAATGTATCATTCAATTCTTTCTTCATCCACTCATTACTTCATATTTCTTAAGGGCTTTTAAAGTTTGTATAAAGAAATTGTCGTTATGATTACTGATAATGAAAAAAGCTATTGTTTTAAAGTTGAAAACAAATTTATAGTCAAAAGTGGATGTAAGAAACGTATGTGGAGATCACTAAAACAAATATTGACCGCCGAACGATCTTTACCATGGCAAGATAACGCCGTCTTGTGTAAGTTTTCTTTGTGTTGTTTATATACAATTGGCACTAAGGAAATTTTGCCCTCAGCCATTTGTTAGGCTCGGGTAGGACAGATTCATGTACAAACATTTCTACCACTGTGGATATAACACTTTTAACCCCATGATAACAAAATTCATCTAAATCTATAAACTTTATCAAATTATTTTCAATCAATTAGGATCAATTTAGGATTAATCAAATGATCAGTTTAATTCTAATGGTATAGGTAAAATAAACTAATAATCCTAATGTTTTATTGTTATAAAGAAATTACCATATTATCTAATCTGCCACTACTTGATCAAATAACAAAAGTCATACAAGTAATGATTCAGTAAAATATTTGGGAATTATTTGAAAATTTAGTAGCTGCATTTTATTATCTTTGTCTCTATCTTTTTTACATAACATTTGTTTTTATATTATTTGCAGATTACTCAATAAATGCACCACCTACATTTAAGCCAACTAAGAAGTATTCTGACATATCTGGTTTACCTGCTCCTTATATGGATCGCCACTCAAAACTTTACTACAGCAATGTTGAAGAGTTTACAACTATAAGGAGCTTACCAATGGATATCACAGCAGGATATCTACAACTTCGTGGTGCAAATACAATTGTTGGATGAAAATCACTGTACCTCTTTATTGTGTAGATCTACCACAAAAAGTAAAATATCCACCATAAGATATGAAACAGTAAAATAATTACAATTTTTGTTGTACTATGAAGGTCTTTTAATAATTATTGCATAATAAGCATTCAACTACTAAGATTAGTACTATAGACAATATGAATATATTTAATAGACATTGGACAACTTCAGGGTAAAGGCGAATTGGCAATTTGGTAAGAATTAAAACATGTAGGTATGTATCAAAATATTAAGTTTAATGTATAAAAAGCATATCAATTATTTTAATATAAAATAGAGTCATTAATAATAATAATGCACTAGAATTGTCCATCATATTTATTATGAAAGAACTTTGTTAGTAGACACCCAAACGAACTCAATAGGATCGAGTTTGCAAATAGTGACACTGTGACAATCGGAAAATATCAATGATATTAGTTTTACAGTTTCATTTTATTGTGGTGCGATTACAACAACTTTCAATAGTACATTGGCTTTACAGCCATTCATTCGAGCATTCTTCAAATTGTACCGTCTCACAGGGCATTTATTTCAGAATCATCACTCTGAAGACTTCAAAAAGGCTATTTGCGTGGGGGGATAATGCGCGTGAAAAAAATATATTTCTCCCGCCGCTACGGATATATAATACATTAACGCTCTATATAATATATTATCAATAAAATTGTATGTTTGGAGTCGCATACTTAGTTCACCTCGTTCGCCGCCAAATACGAGGTCTCTGACGCCCAGGGCCGGATTTAAGTGAGGGGAACCGGGGCTACAGGCCCGGGCCGCCACAAAAAAGGGGCCCGCACAATAGAGACCTTGAAATTTGCACTGGAATTATAAAAAATAGACTTCTAACCACGATGGGACAAAATCGTCTATTAAAGCTTTCTCTCCTGAACATTCACATTGAAAGTGATTTGCTTTAGGAACTGGAGTTAGCGAAGCGAAATCATCACGGATTTTTTGACGAAAAAAGCTCACAACTCTGTTCGTTAAATAATAAAAGAATGTATTCTTGGTTTCACAATAAATTATTTATTGGAAAACTCGACTGAAAAAAATAGTTAATATTGGGAAAATAATTTGGAGCCAAGGGGCCTCCACTCTTGTTGCCGTCCGTGGCCTCAAGACCTCTAAATCCGGCCCTGCTTACGCCATGTCGTTGTTTTTATTTAGTCATATAAAAGCGCCGAGTTTGCGATACGATGGGTCAGACATCGCGTGTGGTTTTGTTTCTGGAAATTCTGCATTATCTTGGTTTTTTATCCTATTTAAATTTTCGCACCTGATCGTTTGACGGACAAGGATCTCCCTTTATGGCCAACCGCTCCCCTGGGAGAACGTACATTAATAACGTTCGTAATAGAGCTGCGTTCGTCTCCGGCCAGCTACACAATTTAACTAACGCTAAAAGAAAATGCCCTTAAGGCACAAATTATTATTATATAAGACCTGCGTGCGATCTATTATGTCCTACGCATGCATGACCTTCGCCCACACGCGCCCTACTCGCTTGTACAAACTGCAAATAGTACAAAATAAGTTCATCCGTCGCGCAACCGGTGCGCAGTGGTATCAACGCAACATCGACCTGCACAGCGATTGCAGACTCCTGACGAATCGCGAATATTGTAAAGACCAAACGGTTCTTCGATAGAGCCCCGAATATCATCCCAACCCTCTTGTGCGCAATGCACGTTTCAGTGTGCTGGATTGGTAAAGAAACAAGAATGTCGTGAAGACAGAAAGAACACTGTTTATTTTCAGACGTTTGTACAAGTTTTTTCTTATGCAATAAAACGTTCTTCTAGTGGCTGCAGTCTCCTCCTCTTCCAGGCTGCAGGGCTTCTTTCTTGCTGACTTCTTCTAGTTGCTTGTTCCAATGGTAGATCTTGATGCTCATCGACTGCGATGATGCCCCGAAACGCCGCTATATTTATGTGATCCTGTGGGAATTAATTCCTGCTCTCTGATCGGATTCCGCTTCGTGCTCTCGTACGGAACGGACGTCTCTCTAAGACGGAGGGCACATGCCACCCGAATTAGACGCCACTCGCAACCTCGGTTGCAATTTATATCTTGTGCAAATAGTGCAGTAGTTTAGTGTTAGTGTAGTAGTGTTGTGCTCGTAGGCTGGCTCCTGTTTTGTAAGTAGACTCACACACACACTTCTCGCCTCAGAGGCGGCATTGTTTCATTTATTAACTGTGTGCTTGTTGCAATAGGCGACAGCTAGGTACGCACCCTAGCGCACCTTAAGCGCAGGCAAATTAGTTGTTATTTTTAGGCACATTCCTCCCTGCCGCAAGGTGGGGAGGCTTATTTAGCTCACACACGGCGGCGGGGCTACAAGCCCCAAAGATACTTACGTCGCGATGGGCTTCCTTTTCGAGGAGTTCGTTCGCAGAGAATGCCCCGCTATGTGGGAACGTTATCTTGCCTATGCAGCCGAGCATAGGCAAGTAGCTGAACTCGCATCGCCGCCATTGCCCGCGCCGTCTGCGCCCGTTACCCCGTCGCCCTCCGCGACCTTAGAAGCCCCCGTCGCTTCGGCATCCGCTAACGCGAACTCGCCCGTAGCGCCTTCCGTGCAACCAAACCCGACCTCTTTCCGCTCCGTCGTACCCGACTCACAATCGGACGGCGGATCGGACATGGAGGTCGAAACGACCCCCGCTGAAAATGCGAACGCCGACGGCTTCACCGTCGTTAAATCGCGTAAAAAGGGCAAGAAACGCCCCGCTACCGACAGCGACCCCGAATGCGAGGCCGCCTCAACGATCCGTCCCACCGCGACGCCTGCCAAAAAGGCAGCCGCGACTGCCCAGTCGGAACCGACATTCGCCTCCGAGCGAAAAATCAAGCCACCGCCGCCAATTATCATACAAGAAAAGGCAAAGTGGCACCAAATATGTTCATGGTTCGAACGCCATAACATACGAGACCCCCGGTCCAAAAATACGCATATGGGTATCCGCGTATACCTCGATTCTACGGACGATTTCCGCCGCGTAACAAAGTACTTGCGCGAAGCTAAGGTAGGTTTCCACACCTACTCACTACCCGAAGAGCGTAAACTTCGGGTCGTAATCAAGGGCGTCCCGAAAGAGTCGGATGTCGATAGGGCTAAGGTCGACATCCGCACTCAGGGATACCCTGTTCACGCCGTGCGTCGCCTCAGGCACCCTCGAACCCGTGTCCCTATGGACATGGTCATGGTGGAACTTGACCCTACCCCGGAAGGTAAGGCCATTTTCAACCTAAAGAGGGTCTGTGGGCTCAGTGACTTAGTCATCGAGCCCCCGCGAAAATCAGGTGTTGTGGCACAGTGCCACAACTGGCAACATTTTGTCCACACGGCCAATAATTGCTTCGCTCACCCTAGGTGCGTCAAATGCACCGGTGACCACGGCACAACCGAGTGCACGAGGCCAAAAGATTGCGCAGATCCACCGGACTGCGTAAACTGTCACGCTACCGGCCACCCGGCTAGTTATAGAGGCTGCGCTAAGGCCCCGAAAACTCCCGCGAGAAAATCTCCCCCGAAATCTACGTTGCCCAAACCCGCGCCCGTAAAATACGTTCCCGCGCCCGTACCCGTCACAAACGCCTGGGCGAAACCCCAGGTGGCCGCGCAGTTAATCACGCCCCCGGTCGCTTCACGACCGATTGCACAATCGCTGCCCGCCTGTCAAACGGCGCCGCGGCCGCAGGTGCAGCCAACTTCATCGGTTTTCGCCGAAAACAAGGACGACCCGTTCGCGCAAATCGCCAACATCTGCAGCCTATTAGACCGAATCAATAGGCAGGAACTCGCCGTATTGTCCGCTAAAATAGCGGCCGCCACATCTGGCAACGAGCGCCTTAGAGCAATCAGTCAACACAAAACGCTTGTAGAAGCCCTATGGGCTTTTACGAGCCAACCATAAAAAGACATAATAGTCCGCGCAATAAAACCGCGCTCCGCCGCGTCTTTAATTAGAACCATAAAAACTTTAATGGGAAGTACAACCGCAGGTAGAACAAAACCTCGGGCTCTGGTTGTTCCGTATTTCAACGCAAACGGCATAAAGGGTCAAAGGGACGAAATCGCAGAATTCCTTCGCGATTATAACGTAGATATTTTTCTAGTGCAAGAGACATTCTTAAAACCTAGTACGCGATCCCAGAATTGCAAATTACAACATTGTCCGCCATGACCGGTTAGCAAACCGTCTGGGAGGCACATTAATTTACTATAAACGGTCCTTGCACTGTTGCCCGCTCGACATTCCAGAGCTAAGTCAAATAGAGGCATCCGCGTGTAGGTTAGCGCTCACCGGCCACAGGCCGCTTGTACTAGTCTCAGCCTACCTCTCGGGGAACAAAACCTTATTACAAAGCGACCTAGTTACGCTACTCAACTTAGGCCCTTCCGTGATAATTGCAGGAGATCTAAACTGCAAACACGGTTCATGGGACATCCAGAGCATCCCAAATAACAACGGAAAGCATCTCTTTAGCTTATCCGATAATTTAAACTTTAGCATAGTCGCTCCCGCGACTCCCACTAGGTATCCTACGGTGGACAACTACCAACACGCGTCACCGAGTGTCCTAGACATCATGTTATTCAGGGAGGTCTCGCTCAAACTCAAGGCCTTGGACCCCCAGGACTTAGTAGACTTACCCGAGACGATAGCTACGATCGATGACGCAAATCGAGCGATAGCGAGTCTCCGAGAAACTATTACTTCCGCAGTCACAGATTCCGAACGGACGGTGAAACTGTCGGGCGACCGACGGTTTAACTTTCCGCCCGACCTAAGCTACTAATTAGACAGAAAAATGCAGCCAAACGCGCCTTCGACCGATACCGATCGGAATCGAACCGAACCCTACTTCGACGCCTTCAGCTAGAAGTCAAAGATCGTGTATTGGAACACCGACATACAACGTGGGACACTCTCCTAGAGGACATCGAGCCATCGCACGCC